CCTACTGTGTGCCAGGCACTGTGCTGAGCGCTGGGGACACAAAGTAAGACAGAAGCAACCCCTATCCTCAAGGAGCTCACAGTCTAAGAGAGGAGACGACATGCCAACTACCTGTTACAAACAAGAGGCGGGCAGGATCCTTTGGAGAGGAGGAAGAAGGAAGGCAGGAGGGCGAGGTAGGTGGGGGCAGGTGTCGGGAGGCCCCGCCCCCGTCAGGTCACAAACCCGCCACGCCCCCAGCCGCCGGTCATTGGCCAGGGCTGCGGATGGGCGTGTCCAATGCCGGGCTCCGCCTCCACTCCCCGCCCCCCTCTTCCCTTTTTCCCTCCCCTCCCCCCTGCTGGAGGCTCGAGCGGGCACGCGACACCTTCTTTGTGGCCGGTGAGGGAGGGCAGCTCGGCTCCCTCGCGGGGCGGGGGGTGCCGGGAGGGTGGTTCCGAGCGCGGAGGGGGCTGGGCGGGCGGGCGGGCCGTGGGGGTGGGGAGTCGTGGGGTCGGGAGGGCGGGTGGCCGCGGGGGGAGGGCCCGGGCGCGCGGGCGCGGGGGCGCGCGGGGGCGGGGGCGCGCCGGGCTGACACCGCCTACGTAGCGCGCGCTCGCCTCGCGCCCGAGCCGGTGGCTGCAGCAACTCGCTCCCCAAGCTCCCGAGCGCCAGCGCCGGCCGTCGTGGACGCGGGCTCCGGGCTCCGGGCTCTGGCGGCGGAGGAAGGCGGCAGCGGCGGCGGCGGCGGAGGCCACGGCCACGGTCATGGAGGGGCAGCGGCTGTCCCCGCAACCCCAGCTCCAGCTCTGCGACAGCCTCATGATCTGGGTGAGCGTGGGGGCGGGGGGGGGGGGGGGTAGGGGCCGGGGGGGGGGGGCGCCGGGGGGGGGGGCGCCGTGACCTCCGCCGTCGCCGTCGTCGCGGCCGCCACGCGTGTCCCCTGTGCTGCCGTGGGGGAAACTGAGGCCCGGGGGCGTTGGCGAGGTTCCGGGCCGCCCCTGCTCGGGACACTCGTGGACCTGGGTCCGGGGGGTTTGGGGGGAGTGGGCAGGACGCGCGGGGCCCGTGCGGGGCCCCCGAGCCGCACACCTGTGCTCCCCAGCCGGCGGGTGACCTTGGCCCGCCCGAGCTTCGGCCTTCGGGGCGGTGCATGCGGGGTCCGGACGAGGCGTGACCCTGGGGGGCCGGAGGGAGGGTGGGGGCAGCGTCCTGGGCCCGGGGAGCCCCGCGCCCCCTGCTCCTGTCCTGGGGGGGGTGGGGGCTCCAGCTGACGGCCCCGAACTGAGCTTGGGGCAGCCGGGATCGGTCGGTCCGTCCGTCCGTCCGTCTGCCCGTGAGCGTGCCTGGGGACAGACGGACGTCCACGCGTGTGCATCGGGGGCAGTGGAGCCGACGCGGGTACGGACGTGCCATCTGCGCACACGCATCCGTGTCTGTCGGTCCTCGGAGCCCCCCTGAGGGCCCGGGTGTCAAAGGGCAGGTGGCCCAGGTGTGGCCTTGGGCAGGGAACATGCCCCAGCGTTCTGGATCCCAGGGATGCCCAGCCCCGTTCCGTCCGTGGGGCGTCTGCAAAGTGTGCGTGGAGTGAACACCACTGACTGGCCAGGTGGCCATTGCTGCCGGGAAACTGGACAGAGGTTTCTTAAAATATGTAGGATTTTTTGTATTAAACCTAGGATAGATTTAATTATTTGGTTCAAAAAGAATTGAAATGTGTAAAGTTTCTGGATTACAATTAGCAGGTTATTTAACTATGATAATCACCTGGCCAATAAATATTTGAATTTAGAAATTGCAGTCAGTAGCACCTTTAAATACTTGTTTTATTGACTAGAAATAAAACTAAAGACCATAATCTGTACTTACTCCTGACAAAGGTGGGAAATTTAGGTCTTTATGATGTCATTGGGTTGTTAGTATGCTCATTTTCTCTAGCCATGTTTTAAGACTTTAAAATAGTATTAACTCTATAGCACCCAGCAAATGTATTTGAGTGTCTACTAGGAGTAAGGCACTCACCTAGGTGCTCTGAAATAAGTTGTGATCCCTGCCTTCAGGAAAGTTAATATTTTATATATTCTGTATATGTGTATATACAATATACACACATATATGTGGTATAAAACGCGTGTGTATATATGTGCAGACATATGTGAGTGCAACACTAGGCAGTATGTAATAATTATAGGAATAGTTCTATATAGGAGATATAAAATATATGTATATGTGCATGTGTTTGTATGTGTATAAAACTTCAACACTAGGCAGTATGCAATAATTATTATAGGAGTGGTCCAAAATGTCACTTGGAGGCTAGGTTGGATTTAGGATTTTATTGATAGAAGGAACTCCTAGATGAAGAGACTCCCTCTACCAGTGTTAGTCATTCAGTCAGCAAGTATTTATTAAGCCCTCATTTTGTGCCAGGCCCTGTTCCAAGCTTGGTGAATACAACGAGAGGCAAAAACAGTCTTTGTTATCAAGGAGTTCATATTGTAACGAGGGAGACAATGTTCAAATACCTGTGTGCGGTCAAGATCTAGCCATTTTAAATGGCAGAATTCCAGGGCATCAAGGCAGTAGCATTTGTGGGTAGGGGATGGCAGACCAGGAAAAATCTCCTGGAAAAGGTGGGACTTGATTCTTGAAGGAAGATTCTTGAAGACTGAAGTGAGGAGGAAGAAAATTCCGGGCATAGAAGCTGACAGCCACAGATGCTGAGACCAAGTGACCTGTTCCAGGAAATCCAAGCAGGCCAGTGTAGCTGGATTGGAGCAGAAATGGTGGAGGGGAGTGCTAGATGTTTAGTGCAGAAGAACATTTTTATACTTTGATCCTGAAGGCAAATAGGGATCTAGTGGAGTTCATTGATTATTGAGTGAGGGTGGAGTGACATTTTAGCTCCTAAGAGGAGATGGATTGGAGGGGGCAGAGAGACTTGAGGCAGCAAGGAGGCCAATCAGAAAGCTTTTGCAGTTAGTAGTTGAGGCACTCTGATAAAGGCCTGCACCATGCTGGCAGCTTGGTAGGAGAGGGCATCAAATGCCCTCCATCAAGTGGCCGTGCTGACCCTTCTCATGCTTATCTCCTGCTAGTCCCATATAGAGTTTACATTCCAGCCACCACTTGCCATTATTCCAAAGAGGTGTTTTCATACCTTTCATACGTTTCTACTTGAAAGCTTTCCCCAACTCTGCCTCTCAAAATCCTACTGGAGCAGCAGCTTGGCAGGGTGCTCTTTACAGAACTGGCCTTGGAGCCTTGGAAGACAGGAATTCCCCTCCAACAAGAGTACTTAGCCTCTCAGTGCCCTAGGGGACTCTCAAAGATCATAGCTTATAGAGAAGCAACATCCTCAGCTCCTTCCTTATTCACACTCACTCCCACCTAGTCAATCCATTGCCAAAGCTAGCTGCTACCTTTCATGTCTGTCCTAGACTAGCAGGAGATAAGCCTGAGAAGGTCCAGCAGGGTCACTTGATGGAGGGCATCGGATGCTGGGCAAAAGAGTTAGGGATGTTCTTGGTAGTCACTGCAGATGAAGAAACTAGCCTAATTAAAGCCAGTGCTTCTACTCTAGTAAGGCTGGTCAGGTAGCATTGATTACAGAACCCCAAGTCTTCTCATCACCAAGCCAAATTACCCCCAGTTCTTCAATCCAACTTCATATGACGTGGACTGAAGGCTCTTCATCATCTTGTTTGCCCTCCTCTGAATAATCTCCATTTTATCAATGGCCTTCCCAAAATGTGGTGTCTGGAACTGGACACGCAGTCCTCTACGTGTGGTCTGGCCAGATGTGCACCTCTCTAGGTCTGGACATCTGCCTAGAGTGGGCATGAGCCTAGACGGATGCCGTCTCTCCATGCTGTAGACTCATTGAGCTAAACCAACAGCCTGATGTCATTTTCAAATGAACTGTTTTCTAGTTCCCCCTCATCCCAATCTTGTCTTTGTGAAGATGATGCTTTTTAACTGAAATGTAAGATATTTGTCCTGACTAAATTTCTTATTGTTAGATCTGATCCAGTGTCCTGGCCTGTTGAGTTTTTTATGGTTTTTAATTGCCCTCCATGTGGCAGCAATCCCTCCCCACATTGTGTCTTCTGCACAGCTGATGGTTGTAGAGGATTGCTTGTGAGGAGGGGGCCAAGCGGAAAGCATCTACCTAGACATGATGTAGCAAAGGTGTAGGTCATGATGGTGGTGGCATTTGAAAGGAAGCAATCCATGGGAAAGAAATAGGACCTGGGGTCCTGGCATCAAGTGGGTGATGAGGGAAAGGAAAGGATAAAAAGATGACTGAAGTTTTTGACTTTGGGTGACTAGAAGAATGATACCATTACTAGAAATAAAGAAGTCTGGGGGAAGAGTACGTTTCGCAGGGGTGTGGAGTGGGCAGGAAAAAGAGTGGAGATATTTGGTTGTAGAGTTTGAGATACAAATGAGACATCATGGTATGTACCAGGCACTTTCAAGTACTTTGGAGCCCTGGAGTTGAGGGAGGTCAGAGCCTGAGAGAGAGAGAGCTCAGAGCTCAGATCTGATGTGTGTATACACATGTGCATATTGTGTTTTTATGTATAGGTATGTATATACATACTTTCCAATGCATATGTGTATATACACATGCACACGTATGTATTCACACACATTTAGATGTCAAACAAAGAGGGTGGTGGAAATCATGGGAATAGCTGAGAGCTCTGAGGAGAATTCCTGTGTAGAGAGAAGAGCAGGCAGCACCAAGGACAGAAGAATGCCAGGCTTCAGTTGGGTGCTTCAGAGGGCGGCTTCTAGCCAGTGATACCCCCAGGGGCCAGGTAGGGAGCTGTCTGTCAGGTTCAGGTTAATGAGAAGGGAATAGATTAGAAGCAGCATTTCACACTCTTGACAATTTACTTTCAATGTTATGTTAGAGCAAAGCAAATAAGATCAATTCCCAGGACTTGATTTTCCTTTGCCTGGTCACTGGGATTAGTGGAGGACCTCCTTTGTGGCCTTGTTAGGCTATCTGTTATTTTTGGGTCACACACTAAAGAGGCTTTGCTCTTAAATCTCATTGTGAAGGAGTAAGAACCAAAGAAGTCTGTTCCCTTCTTCCCTCCCAGCCCTTTCTCTCACCCTTCCCCCCTACTCCCAGTTTTTTTAATTCATCTACTGTACTTGGTTATATAATCTTTCAATTTACCCAAGTGAAATTACATTTTACTCTTATCTAATTTATTTTGTAGCTAAATTAAGCTCTGCCAAGAGGCACTTCTATCTTGTATGACTGTCAGGAGGAGAAACTGACCTCAATATGGGCATTGTGGGCATTGAGGCAGATTCCTAGCTAGGGGAAAGAGAAATTAGCTCATGATGTTTTACATAATATCATACCTGTCCAAAATGGTCTGATTTTTTTTTTCCAACAGATTTCAGCAAATAATACACTAATGGGGTGGTATATAAGAGTGTAAGAATAAAGCATTTAAGCTCTGTTCCATTGACTCCTAGGGGGTTCAGAGTCTATCCTCAGGGGTTTATTGATAATAAAACTTTCCAACTTTTGATTGCACCATCATTTTCAGATTCAGCCTTAACTGTAGAGAGAAGGGCAGGCTCAGGCAGCTGGGTGGTAGAGTGGATAGCTGCACGTGGAGTCTGGACTACTGAGTTCAAGTTAACTTTGTGACCCTGGGCAAATCACTTAACCTCTCCCAGTCTCAGTTTCCTTGTTTGTAAAAAAAAGGATAATAGCACCTACCTCACACGTTTGTTGTGAAAACCAATTGCCATAACATTTGTAAATCACTTTGTAAACCTTAAAGCCACACATATACATGCTATCTCATATTCTAGCTTAATAATAACAGCCTATTCTCAAAAAATAAGAGGACACTTGGGGGAGCTGAGATGGAAGTAGGATTTTTACGAGGGTCAGGAAGGTGGTAAACTGAGGAATTTGAGCCTTGGCCAAAAGAGCATTTGAGCTGGAGGAGATGAGAGAGTGATGCCCTGAAAGGAGATATCGTAGTTGCGTTTGAGAGGGGATTGGGATCAGATGAACAAGAATGGGGGTCGGAAGTGAAATTCTATCATTGAGTTGTGGAAATTTGGAGAGAAAGTCTTGCCAGACTAAAAGGGGGTCACACTGAAATTTCCCTGGCAGTCATTAATGCTGATTTTTTTAAAGGGGAAGTCCTTTTCTCACTTTAATCATTTCATTGTAAGATTTAATTTCTCTTTGTGGTAGAGATCAACCTATAAAGTACCCCCTCCCCCCAGGTCACCGTGTAGAACTGTGTCTGTGTGAAGTGTCAGATTGAAATGGAACAGGAATAAAGTCAGAATGAATACAAAATGGAAGTCACCACAGAGGAGGCTTGATTTCTCATGCCCTGAGGAAGATTGACAAAGCCGCTGTTATAGGTTAACTAGCCTCAGGCTAGTCCTGGCATTGGGCCAGTTGTGGGAGAGCAGCAGGCATCTTGTCAGACTGCCTTTCTGTCTTATTTTCAGAACTAAATGACAAACTTTGCAAACAGTTTTAGACTTGAAGTTTCTAGCCTTGGGCATGTCATAAGGGGGTAATGTGTGAGTGGAATTTTAAAGTCACAAATGGAGAGGAGAGAGGGATCTACTTTTTTTTAAAAGTTTGCTACTTAAAATATGATATTTCCATTGAGCAGTTTTCAAAAGTCACCTGTGTGGGGCGGGGGGATATTTTGAAAGATCATATGAGCATTCTCAGATTTTTACCCTCAGGTTACTCAAAAAGACCCCCACTCCCCCCTAGTTCTCCAGCTAGGGTGGCATGGTGCTGTTTGGCATAGAAAAGAAACATACCATAAAAATGTGTGTGTGTTTTACTGTCTCTCTGATTTTTACAAAATGTAGATTATTCTTTTTGTTTAATATATTTTGTAACCAGGGAAATATTTGCTGATTGAATTTTGTTGGGATCTGTTTATAATGAGGTATTTTTTTTTAATTTGCCTTTCCTCCTTCCCTCCCCCTCTCTTGTTGTAAATGTAAGATTGATTGTAGGTATATTGTACTGGCTGCAGAAGGAAAGCGTCTCATTCTGCTTTTTTGTTGTTTAGTTGCAGACATTTAATACTGCTGCCCCTTGTAAGAATGTCCGGCAATTAACAAATGGGGTTGCCATGGCCCAAGTTCTTCATCAGATGTAAGTAGCCATTGGTGATTGTCATTCAGAATACTCGGGAAGGTATTAAGATATACGTCTTCCATATCTGGTTATCTTCCCTTTGAGCATTTCAGTGTTCTTTCTAATAAGGATTGTTTTAAAATGTCATTTTTTTCTTAAGAACCTTTAAAATTCACTTTATCTCAAGCAGTATTCATTAAGTATCTCCTATGTGCCGCATACCTTGCTAATGAGGGGCTGGGGATTCAGGGACAAAAACACAAACCAAATAGTCCCTGCCTTCAAGGACCTTAGGTTCTGATGGAGAAATATATGTACAGAGAAGTAAGCACAACAAATATATAAAGTCATTTTGTAGGCCGGGCGGGGGGGAAGAGGGAGGAAGGAGAAAGAGCCAAGGAAGGGCCTTGTGTGGCAGGTGAAGTGGAGTTGTATCTTAAGAGGAGCTAGAGACAGAACATTCCAGGCACAGGGCACAGGCTGGGCAAAGGTGTGGAGGTTTGAGAGATTAGCAAGTGGGCTTGGGAGATTAGCAAGTGGGCTCCGGAGAGTAGATGGTAGAGAGAGGGCTAGTAATGTGACGTTCAAGCTAGAAAGAGAAGCTAAAGCCACATGGAACAGATAGTAAAAGGCTTTTTAAGTCCTAAATAGAGAAGTTTGTATTTTGGCATTTGGACCAATAAATTAGGTTTCTTTTCAGAAAGAAGTGTAAGATTTATAATCATCATGTAATGAGGAATCATTGGACCAGAATTTAAGCTCTTACTGTGTGTCAGGTATTGTGCTAGGTACCGGGCATAGAAAGCCATAAATGAAATATTCTCTTCTCCTCACGACTTTGCATTTTATATGCAGAGGCTACATGTACATGTATAAATATATGTGAATATAAACCAAATAATACAAGCTGATTTTCAGGAGTGGTGTAAGGAGATACCAGCACCTGAGGCTATCGGCAAAGCCTCATGAAGGAGAACAGAGCTTTGAAATAAGCTAAAAGACAGAGGGGAGGAGAAAGAGAATTCCAGGCATCAGACAAAGCTCGGAGTTAGCAGATGGAAGATGGATGAGAAGAACATGAAAGCCAATTTGGCCTGAGCAAAGATTACCTGAAAGGGAAATGTAGTGTATGATGGGCCTGGAAGGGGTGGTTGGAGCCCCACTATGAAGAGCTTTAAATATCAAATAGAAGAGTAGGTCTTTAATTCTGGAGGTAAGAGGGAGCTACAGAATGTGTAGCACAGGTGTGACAGGTGAGATCTGGACTGAGTATTGCTTCGGCAGCTGAGTGAAGGAGGGATTGGAGAAGGGAAAATCAGGGAAATCAATTAAGAGGCAATGCAAGAGTCCAGGTGACAGGTGATGATGGCCTGAACTAAAATGACTGCTGTCTCAGTGGAGAGAAGGGGCTGATGGGAGAGATGGCACCCAGGGAGAATCAGTAAGATTTGGAAATCAGTGGGGTGTTTGGGGTGAGAGCGAGGGATTGAGAATGACACTGATTGGAAGGTTGGATGGTGCCTTCTAGAACTGGGAAGGTTCAAAAGAGAGATGAGTGTGGGCAGGAAAAATAACAATCTCTGCTTTGGACATGGTGAGTTTGAAATGTATCTAAGACATCCAATTGGTGATGCAGAGCTGAAGTTCAGAGGAGAAAATGGGGCAGGGGATACGTAGATTGATAGATAGCTAGCTTGGCAGACAGACCAACAGACAGAGAGATGGATAGCTAGATAGATTGATAGAGATAGACAGATCCAGCAGATGATGATTGAGCTCAGGGGAGGTGATGAGATCATCATGTAAGAAGAGGGGTCAGGACAAAGCTTTGGGCTCTAACCACAGGTGAGGGGTTTTACAGGAAAGTGGTCATGCTTCTTCAGTTTTTATTGAAACTTTAACTTTTGTAGGTGAAGGTCAGCAGTGTATTCCTCTGCCGGTCTTAGAACTAACCGATCAAAGACAGAGAGGGTAGAGGTCAGCTTTGGCAATATTACTGGCCTTTGCAGATTTTGATGTTCAGTGTTATTTAAATTGTCTTCCTATGTTCCTTTCAGTAAGCTAGAAAAGGAATCAGGCAGGGAGGTGTTAGGAACCCAAGATTTCAGTGCAAATGCATTTTTATAATTTTGTTTAATAATATTTAACTTGACAAATGAAGGGGAATAGCAGAGTAAGTCTTAAGAATCCTGTTGGGTTAGGAATTGAATAAAAGAAATGTGGCTTGGTTGAAATAGGGAACCATAGCACATCTATAGGAATCTACAGATGATTCACCTCTCACTGGCTGGCACAGGAGTTGCCTTAAGGATCGAAGAGCCTGGTGCTGAGTCCCCACCATCCTAGGTGTCAGGGACCATTCCCAGACAGCTGCACACCTTTGGATGTCACCGTGATTATAGTGTAAGCTTCTTGAGAGCAGGGACTGTCTTTATTCTTGTGCTTGTATCCCCAGCGCCTGACGCAGTACCTGGCACATCGCAGATGCTGCGTAAATATTTATTGGCTAACTACTTCATGGCTTGTCACTGTCTCCTCCATCAGCAGAGATGGCAGCCTTCCACTGCCTCAGGCCAAAGTTTCATGAGTGACCATGGAAACCAAGGGCTGAGTATCTCACCCTCAGGTGATCAGTAGCCTTCATCAGCCCTGTGCTCAAAGGTTTTCCAGCTCACTGGGACCTCTGTGTGCATGTGCTCCATGATTACAGCCTTCAGACAACCCTGGTCACTTCTAAACCTCACTCAGGCAATAGAGGAAGACGTGGGTGGAATCATTCCCAATGAAGATCAATTAAAATGAGGGGGGGGGAAGGGGGGGAGGGATAAAGATGTAGAGAGAGACAGAGACAGAGACAGAGAGAGAGAGAGAACATAGGTTAATTCACTCCTTTGCTCACAGTAGCATATGTAGCATATACATATAAGATTTTTACAAATAAGTACTCAGCTGCCTCAGATGCAAACAGATGTTTATCAGTTCATCTTTAAGGCTCTTCTGATGCTAAAATTCTGTGATTTTGTTATTCTAGAATTGTGGTTTTCAAAACATCATTTACATTTGTGAAGTGGAGTGCATCTATTATAGATTTTGTTTTTTTGGGGAACTAGATAAAAGCCATGTAGTAGAAGATGCCTTAAATCTGGAAATTAAATGGAGAAATTTGAGATTAGGTGAGGATGTGTGGGATGACATCTGTAAGAACCTGTAGTTAATCATTTCTTCTCTATGTCAAAATCAATTTTTATTCTGATGGAAATCTCAGTCTTATACAAGTGAAATGAGTGGTGGTTAAAAAAAAATACTTGGGTAATTTTTATATGGCCTTTTGTGTTTTAAAATTTTTTTTTTTTTTTACTGTTTAACTTGATAAAAAGAGAAAGGAGGGGAGCACTAAGTTAGGTATGTTTCACCCAGCATTCAAATATAAATTTGCTTTTATTATTAAAAATAGTTAAATTTCCATTTTTTCTAGGAATCTTACGATTATAGAATAATCTTAGTTCTAACTCAGTTGATAAAAACAGGATTTTATTATTCTGGTACACCTCTAGGAATTATGATTTTGATGGTTGCAACCCCCCAAAAAGAACTAGAGAGCTCCGAGTTTTAGTTTTAAGTTTGGGGTTATCATTTGTTTTTGTTCTTCTTTGCATATTACAGACAACCTGTCATTTTTTAATGTTCACTACTCTTTTGTTCTTTCTTCTATAATAAGTGTAGCTGGTGACCAGCAGGGGAGCTTTTGTTAAGTGGAGAAGCTTCATCTTATTTCTGGGTTAGATTTGAAATTGGAAGAGAACAAACGATCATGGGGAAGAAAGCAAAGTCCCCTGGAGGAATTAAGAGTTACACTTGAGTGTAGTGCCTCCCCCACCTTGTGTAAAGCTGTTTGTACAGCTTTGTAGCTAACGCTTAAAATCACAGCCACCACCAGCTGATGCTCTTTAGTGTTAAACTTCTCAGTACTTACCACAAAATCAGAGAGAGCATGGCACTGAATAAACCACACTGGATTGCGAGATTGCAAGCAATCAAGTTGATCTGGTTGGTTCTGCTGAACTGGTTATCAGTAGGCTACTTTTGTCAAAAAGTGTTAACTGCTTTGTACATATCATGGCCATGATGTCTGAGTTTTGGGAAAGGATTAAGAAAACTTAATATTGTTTCTCTGGAAGTGGAGAAGACCTAGGAGAGAGCATATATTTGCAGAATGCACAGTTGCCACTGAACAGTGTTAGCTGCCATTTCCTCCAGGCAACTTTTCCCGACCTCAGTACCCTGATGACTCCTGGTTTGTCCCACTCCCTTGGCAGATCACAATCACTTGTATGTGAGCCACTCTGTCCTTGAGGCAGAGATAGCATCTTATTCATTTTTGTATTCACCCTTTCACATGGTAATTGGTCAATAAACATTTGTTGAATCAATAAATGCACGGGAATTTTATTAGTAATAGATAAGCAGAGTCCCATGGTGCCCCTCTAAACTTAGATGCATTAAAAGGCTGTGACAGAGCAGGAGCTAGTCTTAACCCTAGCAGTCATACAGTTACAAGGCTGTAATTTAAAATGAACTTGTCCCTTCACATTTTATTTATAAAAGATGCTAATTATATTGAGAGACTTATACAAAGAGTAACTTTGAGGGGACCCTGAGGGCATTCAGTGGATATGGTTAAATATTTGAGGGTACTGTTTATTTGACAGATGTTTGCCTTGAGTATTAAAGTGATTGCTTTCTTGGTGAAGTAGTTGGGCATTCTTGACCCATTTTCACTGCATTCAAATGTTTTAATGGTTGGTTTATGTGTGTGTTTTATTTCAGAGATGTTGCTTGGTTTAATGACTCTTGGTTAGGCCGAATCAAAGAGGATGTTGGTGACAATTGGAGAATAAAGGTATCCATGATGACATTGACTAGCTTGCTGAAGTTCAAAGACATCTTGGTACAATAGAAGGAATACTGTGTCTGGAGCCAGAAAACCTGGGTTCAGATCCTGCCTCTAAAGCACACTACTTGGTGACCTCTGGAAACTCACCTCATCTCCCTGGGCTTTTGGTTAATCCTCATCAGTAAAATTAGGGGGTTTTTCTAGATCGCTTTTCAGTTCCCTTCTAGCCCTAGGTATATGATGTTGTGCTCTCAAAAGTTTTTGAAACCTGATCTCAATTGAATTTCCCAAAAAATTACAATGTGGTCTTAAAATAATTTGAATTTATCTACAAGTGAAAATTATTATTTCGTGTATTTTCACCTAATTTAATTATACAGACTCATCTTAATTACATAGCATGATCAAGGACTGGAATTGAATGTACCAGTTAATCCCATTCTTAATCATATCAACAATTCAAAAAATAAAGCAAAAAAAAATTTTTGCTCTTTAGAAGGAAAATACTAAGAACCCTCCAAATGGGCATTTCCTTCTTAAAAATTTCAAAATAAAAGTACATGTTTCTTTCTCATTTTCCCCTTTCTAAAGAAGGAAGTTGGATTTTTTTTCCTACTCTTCACGTGAAAACGAGGGAAAGAGAATTCCATTAAGGCTTTTCTTGTAACATTCATATTGTATGTTGAGTTCTTTAAATAAACATGTTCTGGCTGTTTTTTGAAGTCAGAGTTTTTGTATTTTCTCAGCAAACAGTATTAAGCAAGCTCAGTATTATGCTTAGTATCTGCCATACAAAAGGCTTTCCACACAAATTCTAAGCCTTATGAGCCTTTATGGGTTCATTGGCTTTAACACAGTGAATGAAATTTCACTCTACTTTCTAGTGGCTGAAGGATCAGTGATGGAAGGAGTGGGAGGAGAAAAGAGAAGGAGGAAATGCTGATGCGTTTCTATGAGAGTCTGTTCTCTGACCTGACAATCCACGGTGCCTCGAGGGCTGGTTGGGGTTTCCTGGGGGAGCCATCCCCTCTCTTGGGGGTGGCTCAGGACAGAGGCCACATCCTGGCTCCTGGGACAAGTCGCTTCCCTCTCCCTGGGCTTTCTGCCCAGCCTGCTGTCAGAGCTGTTGGGGAGCTGTGGGAAAGCGTTTCACGCAAAATGGGGGGAGGGGGTGGAATCATTAGGGGCATTTGAGGATTCTAGTGAACCAGGTGCTTGACTCTCTCTGCCTCAGTTACCTTGTCTATAGAATGGGAATGGTGGTACTTACCATTTGACCTCGTAGGTATGTCTTGAGGAGAGTACTTTAGAACATGGAGGGTGCTGTTGTAGTGAGCCTCGGTCTCCTCAGGTCAGTTAAATGTGTTTGTTCTCTGCCTTGTGCAGGCAGTGGGTGATCTCTGTCCTCAGGGAGCTCCCCTTCTGTGGGAGAACACACTGTGAACACAAATACAAAAAGCCCAAGACATTGTGAGGATGGAGAGACATTGCAGACTTGGCTGATCTAGCACAGGTCATAGCCCAGGACGTGGTCCCTGGGCTGGTCTAGGTGGGGAGAGAGCCTTGATGATGAGCCGAGAGCTGTATCAGTAGGGAGTACAGCACGAGCTGGCTCCCAGAGCCCAGAGGTAGAGTCTGGGCAAGATGGGCTTTGGCTGGGACGAGGACAGCATGAGGCATCCTGTGAAATCAGCTTGACAGATTGTAAAAGGCTGTAGTTTGCAGTGGCAACAAGGAGTCCTGGGAGAGCTCAGAAGCAGACAGTTCAATCTAATAGCTTGGTCAAAGGGGAAGAAATCCTAATTTGGGAGGGGGCTCGACCAAATCAATTGATCAACAAGCATTTGTTAAATGTCTGCTACGCGCCAGGCACAATGCTAGGCCTGGGAAGTATAAATATTAAAAAAAAATACTCTGTGTTCTCAGAGAGCAGGCTTTCATTGTCATAGGAGAGAAACGTTGTTCTAGACATAGTAGGAACATAATAGGTGCTGTATAAATGCCATCAGTATTATTATTATTGGTCAAGAAATAGATGATGACAGGAGAAACAGGAGCGAGCAATGTTCCAGAAGGAGGGGGTGGCCCACAGTGTCCTAGGTGTCCACGAGGGTCTAGAGACTAAGGCTGGAGAAAAGGCCACTGGCATTTGTGGTTCTTTGTGCCACCTTTTCAGAATAGTCAGTGGGGTTGGGAAGTGGGGGTGATGCCCAAAGACAGTGCTGGGAGTTGGCAGCAAAAGTGAGGGACTGCTTCGTACAGTGGCCAGGCCAAGTGAGGGATTTTCAGACATGGTCACATTTAGGAAAGCTTGGGGAAGTGGAGAAACTGGAGAGATCAGTTACTGAGGAGATCTTTAATGAGAGCGCCTGTGGCCCCAGCTCTGTGGCTGTCCTGTGGGAGTGCAGAGCTCTTCCTTCTTCCTTCTGTTTCGTGCGTGTCTTTATGACCACATTAAGTCATCTGGCATTGGGTCCTTCCTGACTTCACCCCTGCCATCCTGTCTGGCCACCCAGGGCAGTCAACCTTCCAGTCACACTGACCTTGCTATTCCTTATACACATTTCCCTTGATCTCTCTTCTGAGCTTCTGCATAGTCAGTAAGCATTTATTGAGCACCTACTAGGTGCCAGGCACTATGCTAAGCACTAAGGGTACAGTCCCTGCTCTCAAGGACCTCACAGTCTAATGGGGGGGACAGTATGAAAATAGCTATATGCAAACCAGATGAATACAGGGTAAATTGGAGATAATAAGCAGGGGCAATAATAATAACAACAACAACAACAATAATAATAATGATAACTAACAGTTATATAGTGCTTACCGTGTGCCAGGCACTGGGCTAAGCACTTTATAAACATTATCTCATTTGATCCTCATAATAACCCTAGGAGGCAAATGCTGTTATTATCCCCATTATACAAATGAGGAAACAGAGGCAGACAGAGGTTCATTGACTTGTGCAAGGTCCCACAGCTAGCCGGTGTCTGAGGCTAGGTTTGAAATTGGGTCCTTCTGGATCTGGCCCTCTGGCACCCTTTGGCTGAATCTAGGCACTAGCATTAGGGACATCAGGAAAGGCTTCTTATAGGATCTGGGAGTGGAGACAGGCTTGAGACCAAGAGGTGGATTTCTGGATGGACAGACCAGAAAGTTCTGAAAGAGCCTCAGACATAGGTATTCTGACAGAGGCCCACAGCTCTCAAGTGTGGCCCAAACCAGATTAAAATTTACTTGAGGAATATTTAAAAAAATACAATCACAAAAGTATTTTGTTGATGCTTGGCTAGCCTACTGCTTATTGGTGTGAAGAATATTGCAATTTTTCCTGTCAAGATATTTTTGATGTTCTTTTTAATTTGTTGCACAATTATTTGTTGTTATTGTTTAGTGTTTATATGTTTAAGTGAATGTATGACTGCATGGATCCATATGTGGGCTTGAGTGCTCAAGGGCTGCCATCTCCTGTAGCCTTCCTGGCCATGTCCTGGTGCCTTCCTGTGGAAAATTACCTCATCCTTTGTATTTCTGTGTCTGTACTGTGCACATCCTTAGATATGAGGGGCAGCATGGCATGATGGAACCAGGAGGCCCAGGTTCAAGTCCTGCCTCTGACACATTCTGGTGTGTGACTCTTGAGCAAGTCCTTTCAGGCACAGGGTTCTATAGGGTTAGAAGGTGCCCACCTGCACATTCTTCATGTGGGTGCTCCAATCCCTTGCACATGTGGCCTCCCAGGACTGAGTTAAAGTCCAGGGGGCAGAAACCCTTGTAGGTGCTCCTGTTCCTAGCACCTTGGACAGTGCGTGGCACAGGACACCTCTGATGGTAAATGCTGGCTCATGGATAGGTATTTGTGGAACTGGACTATCACAGCTTTGCTTTAGGAGGAAAATTGGGACATTGATATTAACATAAAACAGACAGTGATGTGTGTCATTTATTTATTTTTGTTATCATCCTTTTGCATTTTAGGCTAGTAATTTGAAGAAGGTTCTTCAAGGAATTACGAGCTATTATCATGAGGTAAGAGCAGTGAATGACTTCTTTTACATATGTATCATGTATCACTTTTAATTTTGCTTTTCATTCAAATCTGGTCATAACTGGAATATTAATATTAACATTGCTGGTTTTTAACAGCTCACTGTGTAATGAATGACACAATTGTCACTTGGGCTTCATTTTTTTCAAATGAACTGCATTTTCATAAGTCGTGGGACACAGCACTCTGACCATTAATCTGTACACTACCAGGCAGTTTGGCAGTTAGGGGCCGTCATAGTGCACAGAGCACGAGGCCTAGAGTCAGGACGACCTGAGTTCACATCTGGCCTCAGACATTTACTAGCTGTGTGAGCCTGGGCAAGTCACTTCACCCTGTTTGCCTCAGTTCCTCATCTGTAAAATGAACTGGGAGCAGCTAGGTGGTGCAGTGGATAGAGCACCAGAGGACCTGAGTTCAAATCCGGTCTCAGACCAGACACTTGACACTACCTGTGTGACCGTGGGCAAGTCACTTAACCCCATTGCCCAGCCAAAAAAAAAAATTAGCTGGAGAAAGAAATGGCAGACCACTCCAGTATCTCTGCCAAGAAAGCCCTGAACACCACCGCCGCCACCACTATGAGGGAGTTCATGTAACGTGAGTATAGTTGACAGCATGATGAGAGTGTCTGATGTCCCAGTGTTTGAAAGCTCAGAAATGTCAGGAGGTAATTTCCAAAAAGTGCTTTGGGTAGAAGAGCCTCATATCAAGAAACTGCATTAGACTGTAAGCTTCCTAAGGGCAGGAACTCTGGTCTTTTCTGTTCTTATCTCAATACCCAGCCTGGAGCTTGCCCACAGTGCTGGCGCTTAGAGAAATGTGTAATGAGTGACTTATTGCTTGCATAAATCTCAGCCTCAAGGTTTGGGACAGGAAGCAGCACATTCTCCTGTGAGCTCTAGACACGGGCTTGGCCAGCCTACTGCTTATTGGTGTGAAGAATACTGCAATTTTTCCTGTCAAGATATTTTTGATGTTCTTTTTAATTTGTTACACAATTATTTGTTGTTATTGTTTAGTTGTTTCAGTTGTGACCAACTCTTCATGACCTCATTTGGGCTTTTCTTTGCAAAGATACTAGAGTGGTTTGCCATTTCCTTCTCCAGCTCATTTTATAGTTGAGAAAACTGAGGCAAACAGGGTGAAGTGACTTGTCCAGGGTCACACAGCTATAAGTGTCTGAAGCTGGATTTGAATTCAGGTCTTTCTTACTCCAGGCCGGCATTCTAGTCCTAAAAAGAGCTATTTTGGAGGATTCTTTCCAAAGTGTCTCTGAATTTTATCTAAACTTATTCTGTTTTCCAGAATGTTTTTACATTCATTTGAAAAATGAAAGGCGAATTCTACTACATTTCCAAATAGGTCCCTGCAGGTTATCCTTTCCCATTATTCTATAGGTATTAGCCTTACACCAAGAAATTATGGCGCTAGGCCTCATTGACTTACACTTTTTTACGTCTAAGACTCTCTATAAGACTACTTTATCTACCTTGCATTGATTATGACATATTTTTGGCTGCCAAGAGTCACATAAATGGATGTTTTGTGACAAAGTTTTATAGATTTTCTTGGTGATAAGGATGTTCACACATATATATGTATATATATATATATATATATATATATTTTTTTTACTTTTCTAACTCATCCTTATTAATAAATTTTTGTTGTATGAATGATCTCAAATTTTCTTTTACCTTTTTGTGCTTCCAGTCTGTAATTTCTTAATGTTTTCTGTACACTAATCAACTGCATACTTACAAAATGACATTGAAAGTGTCATTGATTTGTTCTGTTCATACATCATATTAGAAGCCTGACTCAATGTCCTTTTGATATCGCAGTTTTTAGGTCAACAGATTTCTGAAGAACTTATACCTGATTTAAGCCAAATCACTGAACGCTCAGACCCCACAGAGCTTGGCAGGCTACTGCAGCTTATTTTAGGCTGTGCAGTCAACTGTGAAAAGAAACAAGGTATGTGTGGTGGAACGGCAATGTTTTTGAGGAGGTGTTTGCTTCCTGGAAATGGTCCTTGTGGTGCCTCGTTGGGCTCATCCTACAGGAGGAGCTGAAATACTCTATCATTCTAAGGCTTTGTTCACTCTCCAGATGGCTTTCCCTCCCAAGAGCTGGGAGGCAGACGTTCTCCTCTTACCTTTGCAGTTGCCCAGCAGCATGACCTCGGCAGGTTACTTCTGAAAAGAAAAACAGCCATGTCAAGGGACGAGAATTATTTATAAACTTGTTCAGATACTTTGCACGTAGCTGTCATTCAGATACTTGCTGGTTGTGGAGGTATTTTTATATGCAGGTAGGCATGTGTGGCTTTGGACCCCTGGTTCTTGGAGATAAGGCTCTGGGCACTCTGGTGCCCTTTGCTAGTCGTGGTTGCAGAGAATCCAAAGATCAGGGTCATTCTTCACCTCAGCTCGTGAGGAAGAGCATCAGTTCTGATTCTGCCCGGAAATGCAGACGTGAGGGGTGAGATCTGTGGCACACAAGCCTTCGTAGGTACCTCACAGGTACCAGTGAGTCATTCTACTAGTCAATCCAGGTGAAAAGAAAGGACTGGCCTAACTGACCCTGAGCAGCACTGAAAGCTCTGCTCCTCTGTATTCAGTTATCATAATAAAGTCTCCTCCTTGGGTTCAAGTGACAGACTTCCTGAGTACAAGATGGGGAAGCAGGATGAGACAGCAGTTCATCTAAAACACATCTGAGAGCTTTCGTGGACAGTCATCTCCGCTTGAGTCAGTCAGGTGCCATGGCAGCCAAAGAGAAGTGGGGAGATGTTACTGTCTTCTGTCCTGTCTTCTTTCACCTTGCGGAAGTCCTGACCTCCTGACTGTAGATGCTTCTCCTTGTCCTGCGAACGCGGCCTCCCTCGTCCATCTCTGTCACTTGTTGGCTCCTCCTCTTTACCCTTGAAAAGGATTACATCCTTCCAAGGCTCTGTTCTGTCCTCGGCTTTCATTCGTTTCCCTGACTTCAACTTCTGAACTCTGCGTAAACAAATTCCGAATCCATATGTCTCCAGCCCTCCCTCCTTTCCCTGGTTCCAGACCCATTTGTCCTTGTACACATGGGACCAGAGCATCGGAGCGTTCAGGCGAAGTCTCAGGCAGAGCACGGCCAAGCAAGGCTTCCTCCTCTTGTTCCTCTTTCTGACTTAGCCAGTTGTGTTCATGGTGTGGGTGCTCTTTGACTCTCCGTTGTTTAAAGTCTCAATGTTATGTGTAACCTATATCAAATTGCTTACCTTTTCAAGGAGGGGAGGGGAAGAAGGAGAGATTTGAAACTCAAAATTTATTAGCTTTGAGTCTTCCCTCTCCCTCACTACATCCCAGATAGCAGATTTGCTGGTGGCATCTTGCTGAGTCTCCTTTCTATAACGTTTCACATCTCTCCCCTCTTGTTATGAGCTCCCACCCCCTGGAATTGTTAACAGCTTCTATTCTCTTTGTCCTGCCCGATCCCCTTTCTTCCTTGCTGATTGGCCGTCCTTCGCTATTCATACCAAGACTGTATTTCTCCTCCCCTGCAAAACTCCGCACTGGTTTCCCATTGTCTGCTGAACAAAGTTCTCGAGGCCTTCCTCATCCTGGCCTGTCTCCCCTCCCAGGCTTCCTTTGGTGGATGTGCCTCGTGTTCCACCACCCAGACTGTTCGCCCTCTTGTGTGTACTTCTGTGGTCTTGTTCCGTTGCTTCTGCCGTCCCCCCTTGACTGCCCTTGTTTGTGGAGATGCTGTCTCTCGAGCCCCTCATGAGTCAGGGGCTCTGGCTTCTCACGGCTGTGCTGCAATTTTCCCTGCAGGTTCATTAGCTTCGAGAGACTGGACTTAGATGATCTCTTACACATGTGATCTCAGAAAGGGTCATCTCTTTATGAGCCGTTTGCTCCTCTTCCATGCTGTCATCTTGGACCTTGGATCTGCCTTGGATCTTGTGCATTAATTTGTATGAAGGTTCCTTGCTGTTTGATTGTGTGTGGGCTGTGTCCCCTACTAGGCGCTGAGCTCCTTGAGAGCTACTCCCAGGGCTGGTCTCAGTGCAGTGTCCCCTGCGATAGCTGCTTACTCTTTGTGTTCTTTTTATTGTGGACAGTTCTTAATGTAGGCTGAAAAAAGGCAAGTGTTTCTCAAGTACATTTATGTATTTTGTACCCTAGAACACATTCAGAAAATTATGACCCTGGAAGAATCTGTTCAGCATGTTGTGATGACTGCTATTCAGGAGGTAAGCAGTGGTCTGGTTATAACAGGAAATGGAGGGTAGGAATCCCAAGGAACATTACATGTATTTAGGAAAAGGGAGAAGAATCAGGCTTGCATTGCATATGTTAAGGTAGAGATATGTGTTTTATGTAGCTCTATCTTTCTTTAATCTGTAATGGAGAAGTCTTTTGTGTGTATAGATACACACACATGCGTATACATGTAAACACACATACACACACACACACACGCACACTCACACACGCACATACGCACATACTTGTCTCCTGGAGAGAATGGATTGTTTCATTCTTTGTATTTATATCCTCAGCATTTAGCATAGTAGCTGGCACGTAGTAGGCATTTAACAAATAAATACTTGTTGGTTGCTTGATGAAGAGAGCATACCTGATTGGTAGGACTCTGAGGTCTGCATGGGCCGCTTCTGCAGCTCCCTCCCTCAGGAGTGGTGGCTGTTCAGGCATCAGCTCAGGATCCCGTAGGTACCTTGCCAGGAGGGAAGGCGATGGGTCTAGTTCAGAGGGAGGTACTGATGGCCCCGGTCAGGGTAACAGCTCGATTTCTGACTTGGACTGTTCTGAGCATAGAAGTTCTCAGAGAAAGCATGAGGAGCAAAGAAATGGCCCCAGTGCCCATCTGAGGCCTCTTGGACCAAGAAAAGTGAGGTCAGCAAAGACTAACCAAAAACAAAAAACCGGTAGTTTCCTGGACAACAGCAGACCCTGAGTGAGTTTTGGGGTTTGCTCTGGGGCCTAGTTTTGGGGGAGATGATATTTAGGGAATACTTGGGCAATCAACCTTTGTCTGGCATGTAGTAAGTACTTTAATAAATGCTTTGGCAGTCATTGTCACGTAGCTAGAGTTTTGTGTAGTTTTAGTTTGTCTCCAAAGCACTACATGAGATAGTCTTTGTCATATATGTGTGCATGATACGTACATGTATACATACATATATGTATACCTAGGTGCACATATATATCAAAGATTATTTTAATAGAATCTTTTTTTTTGTCATTTTAGTATAAACCCTATTGAAAATAGCCTTTCCAAATGAACAGCTAATTAGTAATTTAGCACATTGTATTTTGAAATGTTTAATGCTGGGGTCTAATTTTATTAGTATTACTTGACAAATACATTCTCTTCTATGAATAATGTTCTAAAACTAGGCTTGTGATTTTCAGTTAAAAATTATAATTTTTACCAAATATGGAGTATCCTGCCTTTCAGTAAAGGGATTTACGCTCTGCCATTCCATTGGTCAATGTACGTTATCTCCTCAGCCTGTACAGATCCTAAGTTCACATCTTAGCAGAAATGCTTTTGTGACTTGCCATGGCCGCCAGTATTTGTGACCTGGACTCCACCGTTCCTGGGGCTAAGCCTCTGACCTTCCTAAGACTGGTCCTTAGTCTAGAAATGCAGAGCCCTAGCCTGGCGCCATGACCAGTGCCACTGGCAGATCCTCCTCTTAGGGGGCCCTGTGCCACGCCTCCCGCCTCCTGCCCTGACGTGGGCTCCCACACTTTTCCTTTTCTCTTCTGTGTGACTATCAGTCGTTCCAGGGCTGCCCTGAGGCTGCTGTAGGGGCATCGTGTGGTCTGAGAATTGTCTGAATTCAGACCGATCTGGCCAATTCTAAATTGTTAAACATATGTTGCCACTTATCTTTTATATTGTAATTGACTCATTTTGACACTTCTCTTTCATAGTTAATGAGTAAAGAAATAGTGAACTGCACTTCAAGTGATGCTGGGGAGCTAGAACAACAGGTAACGAACACCCTCCTACCACAGCCTGGCTCAGAGTAGGCGCTTCATAGTCACCCCAGCATTAGTGAAACGCTTAATCTGAGCCCAGCACTGTTCCGAGAGCTTGATGCATGCCTGGTGATTGTGTTTTCTCTTGGGAGGTGACTGGGCCACTTCAATAGAATCAGGTCCAGGTGATGTCAGAGGTAGCTCGTTACCCCGGAAACGGTTATGAAGTGGCAGGTTAAGGGTTCTGACGTCAGATGTCTAAGGAGCTACTAGCTGAGATGAAGCCTACTGTAACAATCCTCGTGCCTTCTTTTCACTGCCTGGTAACCAGCAATTCGAGAAATCGAAAAGATCAATGAGTTCCTCCGTGACATGTATTCATGTTATACAAGGTCACGGGGGAGCAGGGCGAGGTGGGGAGCAGAGGGTGGTCTCACAAGCCTCCCTCCCTCCCGGGCTTGTTGGGGTCTTTTCCTCATGGAAAGTGGTCAATGCGTTGGGCTGTTGGCAAAACTGATTATAGGCTTATTGATCTTCTGATCCACAAGTGAGATCATTTGCCAGAATGCTTCTGGTTGGGCTACAAGAGCTAAATATAGCACCTACTTTTCCTCTGCTCTGTTCTTAAATACGCAAGTTTCAAGCAGCCAGAGGAAGTACACGTTCTTCTCAGTTTGCCGAACTAAATAACAGGCCTCTATTGTCACCGTGCTGCCTGCCTGTCAGCTGCTGTGGCTGTCACAGGAGAGCCCGCTTATCCTCCTCTGCTTGACTCCCTTCCCTGGACTCGTCGTCTCACTTTCTCGTCCACCTCCCTTCTCCAGCATTTGCCCCTGGCCCCACAGGCCTGTGCAGTTTGCACTCTGGGAACTGCCTGTGTTCCCCTACCTAAGGGCTCCTCATGGTGTCTGTCAGGTCATGAAGTCATCTCAAAAGCATTTGATTTTGAACTCTTCTTAATTTTTACAGTACTGTTGGGTATTGTGTGTGTGTGTGTGTGTGTGTGTGTGTGTATGTGTGTGTTTGTGTGTTTTAGTGAGGTTGGATTATGAAACCAGGCAAAAAAAAATTCATAGTAATTCCTTAAATCAGGGATCACTGCGTTGTGATGCTTTCTAAGAAGTCTACAAAATTTTAGTACTCACTGTTGATTTTCAGTCAGAGTATTATATGGTGCCCAATTGCGTATGGTTCCTGTGGAAATTTATTTATAAATAATGAGGCTCTTTAAGTATTGTTTTCATTAGGCACTGAATTGCCTCTTTGTGTATGGCTCTACTGAAAATTTAGTAAGTACATAATGCATTTTAAATTATTTCGAAGTCTTGTATGTGTGTGTTTACATAGAAAAGTCTGTCATATTGATCTGTGTGTATGTGTGTGCGCTCATGCATACCAAGCAGAATACACTTTTTTCAGTTTAAAAAGGTATAAACTTAATTTTACTCCTTTTCTTGCTGTAGCTTAGAAGAGCCCTAGAAGAACTTCAGGATGCATTAGCAGAGAAAGAAGAACTAAAGCAAAGATGTGGAGAACTAGACATGCAGGTAAGTGCAGAAGGGCGGGTGGAGACCGGGTGGGGGTGGGGCAGATTTACAGGTAGTCCTGGGGGAAAGGGTGGTGCTCTTTGTGTGACTCACACCTGGACACTGTCACCTACTACCCTTTGACCCACACATTTTAGCTGCCCACCCTCGTCCCCATCCCACAACGTGTAGAGGCTGAGTTTTGTTTTTTTGTTTTTCTAACCTGTCATTTCTATGGTAGATAAGAATGTGGGACCTGGAGTCAGGAAGACCTCAGTTCAAATCCAGCCTCAGACACTTACTAGCTGTGTGACCCTGGGCAAGTTACTTAATCAATATCTGCCTCAGTTTCCTCATCTATAAAATGGTATTAATAATAGCACCTACCTCCCAGGGTGTTTGCGAGGATCAAATGAAATCATATTTGTAAAGCCTTTGCAACTTTTTAGGCACTATATAAATACTAGCTACTATGGTTGTTGTTTTTATTATTTCAAAGCTGCATTTGAAGAGGTGAAAGTAGAATTCCTAATGCAACAAATGGTTAGAGATATTTTCATTTTAAACAGTGAGCTAAAATTATTTTCTGTCTTCATCAGTGATCCCTGAGAATCCCAGCCATAGATGGACGAAGCTGGGATGAGGGTAGTGAGATAGTGTTTCTTTTAAAATATACTGGGAAACAGCTCTCTCAAGCATGTGCCTGGTCATACCTAAAGATGTACAACTTTTGTTTTTGTTGTTTTTTGCAATTGGGGTTAAGTGACTTGCCCAGGGTCACACAGCTAGTGAGTGTCAAGTGTTTGGCCGCATTTGAACTCAGGTCCTCCTGACTTCAGGGCCAGTGCTCTTTCCACTGTGCCACCTAACTGCCCCTAAGGTGTACAACTTTTAACAAAGTGTTTATCATTAGAAAAGCGTGTGCTATCTTCAGCCTCCTGGGGGTGAGGGGAGAAGACTCTTTCCTGGCTGGCAACTTGCTGTGTATTTGGCGTCTTCTTGTGTTGAGTTTGTGACGACCCGGGAGTCTTTGTTCTCCAGGTAACTGCCCTTCAAGACGAAAAGAACACGCTGGTGTCTGAGAACGAGATGATGAATGAGAGGCTGGAGCAGTTAGACGGCTCTTTGGAAGACCCAAACACGGTGGTGGCAAAAAAGTATTTTCATGCCCAGTTACAGCTAGAGCAGCTTCAAGAAGAGAACTTTCGGTATGAACTCATTAGAGTCTTCGTCAGGACGCTTGTCTGTTCTGGTCTGTGTCCTTGGTCGCATAATCAGTGCTATCACATGTGGTGGAAGACACCACTCGGGGAGTCGGGAGCCCAGGGCCACTCTTCCCCTGGGGACATGGGCAAGGCATCGCACTATCCTTGCTTGTAGAATTGGCCTTTTGGGTATCTCCCGGCCCAGGAGGTTTGTGCTTGCGTGCTGTGTGTGGGGCACCATGCTAAGACATGGGAGGGGCAAAGCCCTGGCACGCATCTTCCCTGCCCTCAGAGGGCTTGCAAGTGAGCTGGGAAATGGGGATGCACAGGAGGGCAAAAGTCCTCCCGTCAAGGTGATATGTAGTGGTATAATGCTGACTAAATGCTAAAGAAAGCACATTTTAGAGGATCTATTGTGACTGAGGCCCGGGGCCTCCCAGGAGGCCGGGGCTGGAGCTGAGCCTCCAAGGAAGGGTGGAGTTTGGGTGAGCCAAAGAGCATTGCTGTCATTTTGTAACTGCTCTTCAGTCTTCCTGTATCACTTGTCATGCGTAGTACCATAGCTCATATTTATACAGCACCTACTATGTGCCCAATACTGTGCTAAGTGCTTTACAATTATTCTCTCATCTGATCCTCGCAACAACTGTGGGAGAGAGATGTTATTATTATCCTCATTTCACATTTGAGGAAACTGAGGTAAGCAGAGGTTTAGTGACTTGCCCAGGGTCACACAGCTACTGAGTGCCTGAGGCTAGAATGTGAACTCAAGTCTTCCTGATTCCAGGCCCGGTGCGCTACCTGCTGCACCACCTAGCTGCCCCATATGTTTTATTTACGTAAAACATTTAAATGTCTATGTATACAGATATCTACATATATCTGTGTATTTCCATTAAATTGAGCACAGTTTACATGAACACCTACCAGTGTGTCTAGAAGTGTCTGCCACAGGATGCTCCCACTGCTTTTCTGCCCTGGGTAGTGAGACTGTCGTCCAGGTGTGGTTTGCACCAGCTGGCCTCTGAGGGCCTTTCCGGCTTGGAGGGTTCCCTAGTAACTCAGTAGCCAGCCATGCCCAGATACCGCTGGTAATTAGTTATCTGGCCAGTGTGTCTACTACATCTTAACTTGGATTTTTCTGTGAGGATTACAGAATAAGCTAAGCCTCCTCCTCCTCCTCCTCCTAAGATGTAAAGTAAAAATCATGATTTCCATGCATAGTAAGTGTCACTGAAATACTTTGCTCACACCAAGCTCGTAAGGTGGTGTAGATCTTTTTTATCTCTGTCTCTTTGGAGAGAAGGAAAGTGCCCTTAGCTGATGTGCTCGGCCCCTGGTCACCCAGGCATGACTCCAAGGCCACAGACTTGCCCATAGTAGCGAGAATAAGACAGTCTATAATCGAGTGTGCCCAATACTGGGGCAGTGGAGAAGGTACAAAAATAAACAAGCACTGGGATTCAAGGCTAGGGGCTTCAGCGCCAAGGTCCATAAGATCTCGGCCTGGCGCTGTCTCCCTGCAGGAGGTCACAGGGCTTCCCGGGTCATCACTGCCCACAGTGTTGTTCTCTTGTTGGATGTTGGCTTTGGGCACACACGCTGCGCACCAAATAATGCTTTTCTTTTCTTTACAAAAGGCTGGAGGCAGCGAAAGATGACTACCGACTCCACTGTGAGGAGCTCGAGAAGCAGCTGATTGAGTTTCAGCACCGGAACGATGAGCTGACGAGCCTGGCCGAGGAAACGAGAGCCCTCAAGGACGAGATCGACGTTCTCAGGTGGGCAATCGCTCCGCAATTGGATGGCTTGGGGTCCTCATGGGGTCCATCCTCCTCAGGGGAACTCCTCACATGACCCCAGCCCAGGGCCTGCTTCTCCACCCCTCCTGCACACTGATCACTGTGCCCCTTCTCAATAACGTCTGCCCCAGCTGAACGTTGGTCAGGTAGTTTTCAGTTCCATCTCAGCTCGGGCATTAGCAGTCCCCCCAAATTTTGTGTCAAGCAGGCATGTGCTTGGAAGGATTCCATTTACAAAGTGACAAGAACACGAGGCCTCCTGGTTTTCAGCACATGAAAATCTCCCCTTAGAATCCTAGCATTGTTTCATCTGCCTTTGAAAAGGGGAAAATTGGCTTTCGTTTTCCCCTTGCCAAGCCCTGGGGCCTGATCCACACCCGAACCCCAGTATTTCCCTTGGAGGTCTCCCGACTCCATGGGGCTTGGCCGTGCTCTGGCTCTGGTGGTCATCAGGAGGGAGGACTAGGAGGACGAGGGGTTGGGGGGTGGCACAGAGTGGGGGGCTTTGGGACTCTGCCTGAGCTGCTGTGTTCCCCCTGGGCCTGGGGAGACCGGGGCGGGGCTGGTTCATTACTGTCTGAGAAGCAGTTTCCAGCGTGTGTGTGTGTGTGTGTGCACGCGTGCGCGCTCGCACGTTGTGGGGAGACAGTGTTTGAAGGTGAATCGGTTTGTATTTGCTTTGGTAGTGAGCATGCTGTGGGCCTTGTTGGAAGGGAAGAGAGGGGATGCCCCTCAAATCCTTGCTGTTTATTCCTGTAAGTAGGCAGGGTCAGCCTCCTGATGTGAGGGAGCAAAACTGATCTGTCGGCTCTAGAGGGGCTTTTAACTCATTTCCTTGTCTTAGCGAATCACTTATTAGAAAGGATTCTTCTAATAACAAAATAGAACTAAGTGTTTAGGGAAAAACTACTATAGTATAAAGGTCTACAAATGAATATTTACATTTAGACTAATAGAAGTTTTTACAAAGTGCTCATAAAACAAAGTTGTCATTTATTTTGAGCATCCAGGGCTCTGGCTGACACCCAGCATTATCAGCTGCCTCTAACCATGACCCCAGTATTTTTCCCACCTCTTCCCTGTGTGAAGTTTGGGGCTCCTCCTAACCATCAGCTTTTGTTTTTTTGTTGTTTGGAGCATCATTTTATGGTGAGAATAAAGTCCATTGCGGGACTTTGATCGGCCTGCTCTAATTTCTTACTTTTTTGTTGTAGGACTACCTCTGATAAAGCAAGTAAATTGGAGTCCACGGTAGAGGTTTATCGTCAAAAGCTACAAGATCTGAATGACCTAAGGAGGCAGGTGAAGTCACTGCAGGATACCAACATGATGTACATGCATAACACAGTCAGCTTAGAGGAGGAGCTCAAGAAGGCGAACGCCGTCCGCACCCAGCTGGAAATGTACAAGAGACAGGTGAGGGACGCTTCTGGCTCCACTTCCTGTGTAGCGGGAGAGCTGGGGAACACAGATGGAACATCAGGGGAATGTGGGGTGGCCAACTAAGGAGTCGTTCTTTGAACAGTGAGTCTTATTCGGGACCTGATTGTCATTCGTGTGCATCACCCCTTCCTTTTGCTTCATCGTTTTCCTTCCTTTCTGTAGTCATCTTTTGGACATGCAACCATTTATTTGCTCTTCTGCTGACTGGTGGTCAAACCCCTAGGGAGAGCAGACAAGATTTTAGCCCAGAAGGCCAATGCTTTTGGCTTTAGTATGGCTGGATGGTTACCACTCAGTTCCCATGATCTTTGGACTGTGGCCCTTCTATGTATCCTTTCTCATTGCTGGGGGTAGTCGCTGCTTCGATGCAGATTGTTCTACTTCTGGGCACAGTTATTAGAGCTGACTTGCAGGAATTGGTCCTCGGCTGCTCTCATCTCATATTGTCTCACCTCTCAAGCCCAAGGTGTCATTGGTCACCAAAGTGGCCTTTCTGTGCCCACCACAGGCGTTCATCTCTGGCCCTTTTGGTTGCTTGTGATTGTCATGTTTGGGAGCCTGTGGTTTTACGTTGTATAGCTACATCACACGACTAGGAGAATACTGGGGTTCAGAAGTCCAGAAAGGGCTGCAGCTGGGAAACATTTCGTGCCAAGTCCTAGCCTAATGACTGTAATCTGATTTGATTGTCTTCTGAATTTGTCCTCTTCCCTTCTAAATTCTTGAGTCCTTTTCTTTTGCCTCAACGTAAGGTCCACGTCTTGTATCTTAAATCTTGTTTTGTTGTTGTTTTTTAAACAACAGGTTCAGGAACTTCATCTTAAACTCTCTGCTGAGTCCAAAAGAGCTGACACATTAGCCTTTGAGATGAAATGCCTGGAAGAAAAGCATGAAGCTTTACTTAAGGAAAAAGATGTGAGCGTTCTTCCTTTATTAACTGTGACGTGTGTGAAGTATGGTGCTGGGCCCTGGGGGTCATCTGAAATCAGAGTAGGATGTCATGGGAATGTAAAACCAGCATTGAGAAAGCCAGGCTCCTTTGTCATTTTTTAGAAGACATCCATTCTGGACATGAATGTTAATCATGTCTGCTCTCTGTCCCCCAAAGTGGAGCCAAATAGGTTTAAAGGGGAGGTGCTGTGGATGGCCAATGATGGTTGTCTGCAGAGAGGGTTTTGGACGTTCTCTGATTTGATCATCCCAAGGTACAAGCTAGTGATTTTTTGATGCAATTATATTAATTTTTTCCTTAAAAGTAAGGGGTCCCAGGGCCAAGAATGTGTCTAGAGTATAGGCACTGCTTCTGTGTGTGTGTTGGTCTTTCCTTGTAAGGCCACAATTTTAAAATAACTTATGATATGAAGACTCTACAAATAGCCACTGCCACCCCATGCCTGAACATTTCTCCAATGACACTATTTCTGCAGTCTTCTTCCACCTCAGAACCCTATTCCCCTCCTCTACCATTGCTTCAGCAGGCCTTTCTTGCTGTAAAATGGTCCCCTTTGCTGCCTCAAATGCTAGCACAACTTATGGCTCAGAGTCAAGACTTAAAAGTTCTAGGCTGAGCTTAGGTGTGGGACACCATCAGTCTTATGTACAAGCTAGGTTTATTTGTTTCAAGTTCCAAAAATTCTGGTTAGAGAGGACATGAAGAACCCCCTGGCCTTCCTGCCATGTGGACGTTGGTTGGAGGAACTGAGGACATTTAGCCTAGAGGAGAGAAGCCTTGGACGTGGTAGCTGTTTTCACATGTTTGGGAGGTGGGGCTTTCACATTGAAGAGGGCTCGCTCCCATTCTGCTCTGTGCCAAAAGGCATGGTGAGCTCTCTGAGGTCAGAGGTGGCTGAAAGCAGAAGGAAGTTCAGGGAGCCGAGGTTAGAGTGGCTGGTACCTGTCTGGTGGGGTCCCGGCGGGCCCCTCAGCTCTGGGATGCTTGGCATTTTGAAGACACACCAAAGGCCTTAATGGGCCTGCATTCCTAGTGATACTGTCATTAATAGAAAATCTGAGGTAGGTAGTGGGAATATTGTTATCTCCATTTTACAGAAAAGGGAACAGAGGCCCCAAATGATGAAGTCACTTGCCTATGGTAAACCACACACCTAAGAAGCATGGTGGGCTTGGGACTCTGCCTCTGCTCCTCAAACAAGGCAGCTAGAAGAAGGACATTTCCTTCAGTAATTGGGGAGTGAGGATTCAGCCAGAAAGTCCCCCCTCAGAGCCTCCCCATGGCATGGAAGTGAGCCTGATTCTGTAATGCTCTGCGGGCAGAGCCGAGGCTCGGGCACGGCTGTCTGGCCTCCTGGGGAGGCTTTGAGTGTGGGCCCAGTGATGGGTGTCTGAGGGCTCGCCAGCCCGGCCAAGTCCAGAGATGCTCATCCCGGGGCTGTCACCCACAGTGGCTGGCGAAGACCATCCAGCGAGTAGGTGGATTGGAGGATGTGCTGGAGAGTCAGCCACCACTCCCACCCACCAGAAGTAACAGAAGGCTATCACCTCATGAGAGCAAACACAGTCCAATCCGTTAGACTCAGAATTGTCTGAAATTGGGGGAATGCACATTTGCTGGAAAGAAAGACAAGCAGCAGCATGGGCAGTGGGCCCCAGCCTGGCTAAGCTGCACCGGTTGGGGGACTTTGGGCAAGTCAGTGGAACTTCCCAAATCTCAGAGAGTTGTTCTGTCCAGTGGGGGTCACAGCAGCTTGTTGAAGGTTGCTGCAGAGATGCCAGTGACTCTGGGGAGCAGAGCAGGCCTCACCCTGAAAAAGATGTTAAACCCCCACCCCGCTTGTTTTCAGAGACTGATCATACAGTGTGATGCCCTGAAAGAGACCAACGAGGAGCTCCGGTGTTCCCAGGTGCAGCAGGATCACCTCAACCAGGCAGGTCAGTGTGCCCGCGTGGCAGCAGATTTGTGATAAGCAGCAGCGTTTGACCAAATGCTTCCTTGGGGAGTGTTTGCTTTTCACTGATTCTGTCTTTGCAGGTACCTCAGTCTCAACAAGTTACGAGAACCTTGCTGCTGAAATTATGCCAGTAGAATATAGGTAAGAAAATGGAGAGTGAAATTTTTATATCTGTTAATTTTTGTGATCATTCAAAAAAAATGATCTCATGATCATAAATAGAATCATGGAGCTAGGAAAGACTTCAGCACATGTTCTGGTTTGCCTAAACTTTCCAAGATGTTGCTGTCACAGTTTAAAAGGTCATCAGAGACAGCCTTTTCCTAGCTCCCACAGTCAGCATATCCCAGTTTTTAACATCAAAATAAGTTTTCTGTGAACACTTCCTATTTCCTTCTGTTCAGTTGCATGCAGCTTCTCACTTTCCTCTGTTAAGATTATACTTTGCCCTGGCCCATTCAGGAGCATTCAGACTGACCATATTAAGTATCTGGCCTCCAGACTAGATTCTGGAGACCAGTGTTTGCTCCTGAATTATTGAGCTCTCCCCATTCTCGTGACATTGGATAGGACACTAGCCCCTGTTTTTCTTGCTTGGTGCTAAGGTCATGGGAGCTAGGGTTAAAAGCCTTCTCCGATTCCAGAGGGATGGCATCTGCTGCTTCCCGTTCATTTACTTGTCTTTTCATGGGTCAAATTAATATTTTCAGGCATGGTTTGCTCTTCATAAGTCTGTTTCAGTTGCTCTTCAGAGTTTTGTGCTCTTTTGAAATTAGAATATTTTATGAAGCCTTATATTGAGAGGGTAAAATATTTCAAACTCCCTTTTTCATTTATACAGAGAGCTTAAAACGCGATGTGTTTTTTTATGTCACATATCATAGTTCATGAGGACCTAGTGAATTTCAGTGTCAGGATTCTTTGTCAATGTTTTCAGGCAATAGTTTGCCCCTTTCAGAGAGTCTCACTACTTTTGCCAGGTTGTATAATAACAATTGAAGAGATGGAACTGAATTTTTAAAAACTTTAAATGTTAAGAACCAAAGGGAAAACTTGTAAGACCTTTAAAATTAAAGTGAAGCTTCTGCTTTTCAAAAAACAGAGAAGTGTTCATTCGCCTTCAGCATGAAAATAAGATGCTTCGATTACAACAGGAAGGGTCTGAGAATGAACGGATTGCGGAGCTCCAAGAACAGCTGGAGCAGAAACACCGGAAAACCAGCGAGATGGAGACCGAGCAAAGGTCACTGGGCCCTTGGGTGCTGGTTTTCCTGCCACTCTCTTTCTTTCTCTCCCTGCTTCCCTCACTTGCTGACATGGGACCCAGACCTCGAGGCACTGACGGGGAAAACGAAGCATTGAGTTTGCTGGAGGAAGAGTCCAGGCTGCTTATTTCTAAACAGCAGATGAACTGACGCTGAATTCAGGGTGGGAGAAGTGTGGACTTGGCCGCAGATGCTCTTTATCTGTCCAGCATCATGGGTGGAGGGGTCTCAGAAGCCATGCAGAAAACCCTGGGTTCATGTTCTGCTGCTGACACAGACTGGCTGTGTGGCCCTACTGGGCCCCTCTCAGGGAGTTTCCAGCAGCTCCAGGACCCCGCTGCCTGCTGGCTCTGATCTGCCTTTGTCTGAGGGTGTTTCCTCTTCAGGAGTAGCTCACTTGGCAAATGAAATCTTTGTACTGGCCTTGAAAAAGCTCTCTAGGACTTAGTCGCAGTGCCTGGCGTAGAGGACGTGCTTAATCAATGCATGTCAGTGTCATTCCTTTTTAAGAATTAGTGCTGATGACCACTTAGTTCACTGACTTCAGCTCCAAAGACACCCGAGGGAAGTATTGTTGGACAGCTGTCCAGCTTGCTCACTGATGTAGGAATAGCACAGGTGAATATCCATGTATCTGGCCAAACCTCCCCCCTCAGGATGGCTTTGTTCCTGAGACCGTCAGCTGGACTGAGGCTAATATCATTGGCCACATCTGGCAGGCCGGCCGATCCCTCGTGGCTCACATCTGCCTTGCCTGTGCTCGCTGCTTTCTTTCCTTCCCTCCTTTCTCCCTGCTCCTCCTCCCTTCTCTCCCTACCCTTTCCTTCCTTTTCCTTCCCTCCCTCTCCCTTCCCCTCATACCTCCCTTACTTCTCTATCCCTCCTCCCCCACAGACCATTAGACTAGTCCCGTACTAGTCCCATGTTCCTGCCTCCAGGCCCCCATTCCCCTCCTCCAGGTTCTCCCATAAGACTTCCAGAGGAAGCTTGCTCATGTCCCTCCCTCTGGTCAGCACCCTTCAGTGACTCCTAGAAGAGCCTCGAGAGTGAGTCATAAGTCACCTGGCCTGGCCCTTTGCAGTCTGGTGCCTGTCTGTCTTTCCACATTGACTCTGTATCACTTGCTTCTTACCCTCCACACACCAGTCACACTGTGTCCCAGCTTGATAGACTGTCCTTCATGCCTGGAGTGTGCTGTCCATCAAGCTGCCTTTTGAGATCTTCGCCTCCTTCAAGGCTCAGCCCAGGTGTTACTTCTTCTAAGACATCTTTCCTGATTACCACGCATCCCTGCTTTCCCCCCCAGCCTAAAGTTTTGCATATAGTAGGCATTTCCTGTGTATTTAATGGGGAAATGAAGTGAATGAATGAAAAAGCACTTATTAAGTGATTACTGTGTGCCGAGCACTGTGCTAAGCTTGGGATGCCAATAGAAAAGTGAAACTAGTCTGTGCCGCCAGTGAGCTCACATTCTAATGTGGGGAGACAAGCCTGCAGAGAGGGGTCCAGTTGTGGGAGGTGGAGAGGCCTGGCAGCCCCGAGGTTTCCCTGGGGTGGTGTTGGTGGTGGATGACAAGGCCCAGGGACCCTTAGAAATAAGGAATTGGGGTGTTTCACCTCCAGCAGGCTTCGTAAACCTAGGCAGTGGAGAACGCACAGGGCAGGCAGTCAGAAGGCTCGAGTTTGAGTTTTAGTCCAGCCGTTTATTAGGACCTAACTGTCAGCAAATCATTTTACCCTGAGCTTCAATTTCCTCATTTAGAAAATGGGTCAGAAGCTGCTTCACAGGGTGATTGTGAAGAGAGTGCTTTTGAAGTCATTGTGTGTGATAGAAATGTACGCCGTTACAGGCTCATGGAACTTTCATATGGGGTTAAAGCTACTCTTGTGCGACACCGAGACAAGTCATTTCCTGCTCGCACCCCTGCCCCCCACTTGTCCTCCAGTGGTCTTCCTCGTCTTGGACTAGAGCCAGAGTCCCCTGCCTCTCTGCCCCAGGTCGCCCCCATCGTGCCAGGGTGACTTCTTTGAATCCGAGTGATTGAAAGTGGTTTCTTTTTGACACAGGCTTAGCAAAGAGTATATTAGAGGTTTGCAGCAGCAGATTGAAGACCTTCAGAAGACTCTTCAAGATCAAGGGCCCAAGCCCGAAGGGGAAAGCGTAAGGAACTTTAAAAGACGAGGAGTCCAGTGTGTTCTGAGCCGTGGCGGGGAGGGGGCGCTTCTTATGCTTTCACACCCAAATTAATCTGTCTTAGAAATGAGGCTACCATCAAATACCGTATATATCTGCATACCAGATGCAGCAGTTTTTCAGACTTGGAGCCTATCAATTGACCATATGTATGATAAGCCAATTCCTCCTTGGGCTGATACTCCGGCTGCACCTCGGGTCAGAATAATGCCAGAAGATGATGGTTAGAGGTGGGGCTTGCCCCACCTGAGGTTTCTGTTCTGGAATTCTCACCGGGCTGGAAGGTAGCTAGAGCTGGTGGGCTGATGGGTAGGGAGAGTCAAGGCAAACCTCAGAGTTAAGGACAGAGAAGAGCGATCTTCAGTAAGAGAATGTCTCCAAGAGGTTCCCTGTACTCCCAGCCCCACAGACAGCCCTTGAATACATTCTTGGAGTTCTCCATCATCTTTCCATGACCCTCCATGAATGTGGCTTTCCTTGTCAACCACTGACACAGGGTAAAGGACTTTTAATTTTACCGAGATCTTCCTTGCAACAGCCCTGTGATAAAGCTGGTGTAGGCACTAGTATTCTCATGTTAGAGAGGAGTGTCTGAGCTGGGCTTTGAACACAGGCCTGCCCAACTCCAAGGCTTTTTGTCCTACAGGATGCTGTCTCTCAGGCTCCCCTTGCCAACTGACCTTCTTGTTTTCCAGGGGCTTCAAGGCCCAACTTCACTGAGCCCTGAGCTCACTTAGCTTGTCTTCAGTTTAGTCTCCTTAGCTATATGGGGAAAGGGGCAGAAGCCAGGTACGAGGAACGAATTGACTTAACCTGTAGAAAAGAAAGAGATGTGTCTGTGTGTTTGTCTGTCTGTTTGTCTGTCAATTCTTGAATGTGAGAGACAACTGTCAGGGGCTAATTCCTAAGTTAGCATATCGGGCTCATGGTGGAGGGGAGGAAACTTAGTGGGCCGAGTAAGGGAGTGGTAACCCTGAAAGGGAGGTGAGTTTCCTTTCTATCTTGTGTGCGCTATGTATGATTTTCTTTTTTTTCCTCTGGGGGCTTGGAAAATAGAGAACGTCTCATACGTGGCGGCATCTCATATGTGCATATATACGGTATTGTAACCTCTCTAATACAAATATTTGTTGTTAAGCCGTACCTTTTGGGGTGAAGTCTCTTTCAAAGAGTTGAGTCACTCTCTGTCTTTCATTTTTAACTCCCTCGGTATTTCCGTGGCGTTTCCAGCTGTAAAGTGAAGGGCCCCAGTAGTGACAGTGCCTTCCATTGCTACTCAGTGGGGCAAGCTAGAGCTTACGTTGGTATTTTGCTTTTTCCAAAGCCCCATGAAGTATTTCATGAGGATGTTGTATTACAGACTTTAAAAATGCCCATGTAGGTGCTAATTATGATAAATGGAATCATTTCAGTCTAATTTCAAGATTTAAAATCAAAATTGTAAAGCAGTTTAGTAACAGCACATTTTGTAGTAATTGACATACACGTACCTTGTTGAGCTCACAGTGAGCTTTCTCACTCAGCATCAGCCTTTCATGGATGATGCTCATTATTACAGGTTTTCTCTTTAGCTTTCTCTGTTTTCTTTCACTTCCTCATCTCTGTTCCTCATTTCATCTTTTCTGACATACATTGAAGTAAGAAATTGACACCTACCAAAAGTTTCATTTTATGACTTTAGCCATAAGTATTGGGCATAACTCCAAGTCTTTATAAATGTGATTTTCATTAAATGGTGCATGTACCATAAGTAGAGAACTCAGATTTGTAGTTGGTATCTGTGTGGCAGGGCCATCATCTAACAGTCATTTGTGTTTTATCTTGTAGTCCAGCAAATTAAAGCAGCAGCTGGAAGCTCATATGTAAGTCAGACTAATCAGTTTTGCATTTCCTGTATACAAAAAAGGTTACATGCTTATAAAGTTTATATCTTTTTGATTCTGCTTGCAAAAGTTAGTACTCCAACCTTAAATTACCTCTTGCATTATGAAAATAAATGATCACTTAAATTGAAACCATCAAGATGAAAAAAGAGAGCTTTAAAAACTATTACAAAGCCTGTTTATCCACAAATATACTGAGCCTCCTACCAAGGTCCCAATAATGAAATTATAAAAATACCGTGTTTTAATAACATTTTAGAAATTACAGACGTTTTTCCACAAGGCAGTTTATTTCTTTTGTTGACTTTTTAAAGTCTTAATTATGGCCAAATTTCTGACAAGAGATGTTTATTTGGAGCTCGTTTGCATTTGGACAGGTCTGGTCTGCCAGCCATTCTCAAATAGGCTCCCTGATTATCACGTGCAGAGCTGGACACTTGACATGAAACGACAAAATAAAACCTTGTACCTGCCCTTGCAGACCTTGCGTTTCTCAGGACAAAGGGCAAGTGCGTCGTCACCTGGGTACTTGGAGTGTTCTTAGTTCAGGCTTAGTAAATATCTCTCTTTCCAAAGAAAGCCCCGGGCTTCAGGCATTATTGGAAGGCAAGAGGGGACTCCCCAAGCCGCAGAACTGCAGGAGGGTCGAATGTGACTTGAGCCTAATGCATTAGCCAGGGTCCCCTTACTGAACTGAATGACGGGCAAATGTGAATGCTTAAAAACCTGTAGTGAAACACGTCCTTTGAATTCTTTAGGGAAAAGCTTACTGAGGTCCATGAAGAATTACAGAAAAAGCAAGAACTTATTGAAGATCTGCAGCCTGATGTGACTCAAAATGGTAAAGATCCAAGGGCAGAGATGCCTGGCGTGAGCGGGCTGTTGGGCTCCGCTTTTCTAACCCTCCACCCCACCCCCGTCACACCTCTGCACATGAGGAGAGGGAGCCTGGAGGGGGCAGGGCGGTATGAAGGTGGAAGCCTCCTCCACCCCAGCCCATCTTATTGGTACAGAGTGGGTCTTTTGGCTCATAGGGCACAGGTGCTGATTCAACTAAAACATTTTAGCCGCTCCAGTGGTCTCCTGTTTTTCAATTAAATAGTTTAAAATTTCTGTCAAATTTCTTTTTAAAGATTGTTGATTCCTTTTGTTTTTCACTGAACTGTTATTCCCTGGTTTAACAGCTTCCTTGTCCCCTGCCATCCCCCCAGTGCTCCATAATATCCTCCCTTGTAACACAGAAAAAAAGTGAAGCAAACCAGACTCACCTCACCGAGAGACTGTGCCTGTCCTCAGCCCCCATCCAGAGTCCCTATCCCCCACCTCAGGGCTCTCTCTCTTGTCTGTCCCCTGGAAATCATCTTAGCCATTACATTGAACGGTGCGTCCAGTATGTCCAAGGTCTCATGGGCTGGGTTTCCTGGTCACTCTGCTCAGGGTTTTGCTTTCTTATTTGGCCTCATGTCATACGAGGCTCCCCATGCTTATCCCCATACTTTTCTGAATTCTTTGTTGTCTTAAATTCTCAAAGCACGACAATGTTGCATTACATTTGTAGACAGAACTGGTTATTGGTTCAGGTGGTCCCCTATTCATGGGCAGCTACCGTTCCAGGTTTTTGTTTTTGTTTGTTGTTTTTTTTTTTTTTGGAGGGGTGCATTGCTACCAACAAAAATTCTTGCTTTGAGTATTTTGGTATAACTGGGGCCTTTCTGTCTTTGACCTACTTTTGTGTTATGTGCACTCTAGTACAGTTGCTGGGTCAAAAAATATGAAGAATTTAGTTAGTTTAGTGTTTTATTAGCATCTTTTATTTTTATGTTGCCTTCATTTCTGAGTATATTCTTCCCTGGCCTCTCTATTCAGTAAGATGTCCCTTATAAAATATTTTTTTTAAAAGAAAAGAAAAAACATAGTTCCAAAAATAGACCAGTAAATCAGATGTAATTAACTAATAGCATGTGCAGTAGTCTGTAACCATGGTTGTCCCTCACCTCTGCACAGAAGTTGGAAGGCACATTCTCTCAGCTTTTCTCTAAGACCGAGCTTGGGTGTCATAATTCCAGTGTTTGGTTTTTTTTTGTTTTTGTTGTTCTTTCCCTTTTTATTATAATCCCAGTGTCTATATCCTAGTTTTCCCTAGTTCTGCATCATTTCCTCTATATCTCCCCATCTGTCACTGAGTTCTTGATATTCCTTGTTTCTTAGGGGACCTCAGTAATCCTTCGCATCCCTGTACCATGAGTTGTTTGGCATTTGCTCAACCACTTGGGCATCTCCTGTGCTCCCAGTTCTTGGCTATGATAGAGAGAACTGCTATGCACATTTTGGTGTATTGTGAGCCTGTCCCTGACAGGGAGATGTCTCTTTGGCTTGGGGAAGGCAGTTCAGTCCCTGGTAGAATTGGGCCAGTCTACACACACAGCCCTGTGCTCTGTCCGTGGCCTGGTGTCATTGTCCAGGCACACAGCCCCGTGCTCTGTCTATGACCCCCACTCTCCACGGCTAACCCCAACCCATTGATTTTATTTTGACCTGTGCCCCAGGGAGGTCAGGCCTCCCTGTTGTTTGGTTGGCTTATTCTCGATTTGGAGCAGCTTTCTTTCCTACAGTTGTCCATTGCTTGTGATCCTTCAGAGATCTATTTGTTCTCTTCTTGGATCCCTTCTCTATTAGAAAACAGCTTTCCATCTCATACATCTGTGTTACAGTCAGCATTGGTAGGGAATGCAGACTCTAATCAGAGAGATTGGATTTCATGATTTTTCCCCTGGTTAATATTTTTCCCTTATCTAGATTGTTTTCCTTATCTGAGCTGCATTGATTTTGTTCATGCAAAAACTTTTCAGTTCCGTGAAATTCAATGTCCTTTCCTCCTCAGCTCTTATATTGAGGAGCAAATCATAACATTGTCTCTTGTAAATGACTAGTTACACTTTAAGGGAAATTGGATTAATTAAAGAAGAAAGCCAAATATTAAATTTTTAAAAATTCCATAGTTGTTTTTTTCTTTGTCAGCTTTAGTCTTTCAGAAGATAAATAAAGTATAAAATATTTTCATTTTTCTGTTTAAGTAGTAGAATACCATGAAATTTGAAATGGTTATGTTTTTGTTCATTTTTATCAATAGTACAAAAGATAAATGAACTTGAAGCTGCCCTACAGAAGAAAGATGAAGATATGAAAGCGATGGAAGAGAGATATAAAATGTACCTAGAGAAAGCCAGAAATGTAAGTAGATCGGCAGCTGCCCAAACATCATTGCATGTGTTGCTTTATCAGAGCCCTAGGTTTGTGGACTGTATATCTGTTTGTTTTTTCAATTTTTAAAAATTTAATACTTTATTTTTTCCCTAATTACATGTAAAAACAATTTTTACCACCAATTTGAGAAAGCAAGCAATTTGTTATAGGCTACACATGCAAACCATTTTTCATATTAGTCATGTGAAAGAAAACACAGGCACAAAGCCCAAGCAAAATAAAGAAAAAAAACATGCTTTGATCTGTATTCAGACTCCATCAGGTCTTTCTCTGTAGGTCGATAAGCGTTTTTTATGTCATAAGCCCTTGTGAATTATCTTGGAGTATTGTATCGCTGAGGATAGTTAAGTCATTCTCAGTTGATAACCAGATGATATTGCTGTTCCTGTACAATGTCCTCTTGCTTCTGCTCACTTCGTTTTTCGTCAGTTCATGTGCGTCTTTCCAGGCTTTTCTGAGGGCATCCTGCATACTTATCATTTCTTACAGAAAATATTCCGTCACAATCATATACAACAGCTTCTTCAGCCGTTTCCTAATTGATGGGCCTCCTCTCACTTTCCAGTTCTTTGACATCCCTGAAATAGCTGCTGTATTTTTGTACTTCATCTCTTTGGGATACAGACCTCGTAGTGGAAGGCCATGTGTGGGTTTTTAGCCCTTTGGGCATCGTTCCAAATTGCTCCACAGAATGCTTGGATCAGTTCACAACTTTACCGACAGTGCATTAGTGTCTCAGTTTTCCCACATTCCCTCTAACATTTGTCATTTTCCTCTTCTGTCATATTAACCAATCTGATAGTTGTGGGGTGGTACCTCAGTTATTTTAACTTGTATTTCTCTAATTGATAATGATTTAGAGCATTTTTTTCATGTGATTGTTATAGATAGCTTTGATTACTTCATCTGAAAATTGCCTGTTCATATCCTTTGACCATTTATCAATTGAGCAGTGGCTCTTATTTTTATAAATTTGACTCAGTCCTCTGTATATTTGAGAAATGAGGTCTTTATCAGAGAAACTTGCTATAAATTTTTTTCACTGTTATGATTATTATATATTCCCCTTCATCCTATTTCCCCCCATTTATGCAACTCTCTCTCCTTCCACCCTGTCCATTCTCAAAAGTGGTTTGCTTCTGACTTTTACCTCCACCAGTTCACCCCCCCTTCTGTCAGCCCCCCCCCCCCCATGCCCCACTATGATTCTCTTCCCCTCCTACTTCACTTTAGGGTAAGATAGATTTCTACAGCCAACTGAGTGGGTATGTTATTCCCTCTTTAAGCCAGTTACAATGAGAATAAAGTTCATGTGCTCCCCCCCACACCCCCCATCTTCCCCTCCACTATAAAAGTTCTTTCACGCCTCTTTTATGTCAGATAATTTACCCCATTCTACCTCTCCTTTTCCCCTTCTCCCAATGCCTTCCTCTTTCTTACCCCTTATTATTTTTTTAGATATCATCCCATCCCATCATCCCACCCATGACCTCTATCTATGTATACTCCTAACTGACCTAATAATGAGAAAGTTTTTAGGAGTTACCAGTATCATTTTCCAGTGTAGGAATGTAAACAGTTTAACTTTACTGAACCCCTTATTATTTCTTTCCTGTTTACCTTTTTATGCTTCTCTTGAGTCTTGTATTAGAAAAGTCAGATTTTCTATTCAGCTCTGGTCTTTTCATCAGGAATGCTTGAAAGTCCTCTGTTTCATTGAATGTTCATTTTTTTTTCTCCTGAAGGATTGTACTGAGTTTTGCTGGGTAGGTGATTTTTGGTTGAAATCCTAACTCCTTTGCCCTCTAAAATATCATATTCCAAGCCCTCCAGATTTTTAATGTAGAAGCTGCTAAATCTTGTGATATCCTGACTGTGGCTCCACGATATTTTAATTGTTTCTTTTTGGCTGCTTGCAATATTTTCTCCTTAATCTGGGAGCTCTGGAATTTGACTATGATATTCCTGTCAGTTTTCATTTTTGGATCTCTTTCAGGAAGTAATCAGTGGATTCTTTCAATTTCTATTTTACTTTCTGGTTCTATAATATTGGGACACTTTTCCTTGATAATTTCTTGGACGATGATGTCTAGACACTGTTTGAAACTCAGTCATAGGGTAGTCTGAAGTTCCACTGAGATAATCTATCGTAGGGGCCTGTTAAACCTTAAAGTGCATCCTAAATGCTAGCTATTAATGTTATTAGCTATTATTAAAAAGAGAATTAACAACAGTCTTTTTAAAGGACCATTTGCAAACAGTAATATATATGTTTGTAATAATATTAATTGATAGGAGAAACAGAAGGCACTGTATTTCATTGCCCTTTTAACAAAAACTTTTTAGCCTTTTGCTTTTTACAAAAATAAGTTGTTTGCACCTACATGTGTCATAGCCTGTCAAAGGTTACTTCAGATTGTATGGCCTTGCTTTTCAACATTCAGCAAGCAATCACATCTTGATCAGATAGTGAATGTGTCCTGGCAAGCTTTCACCATATCAGATCCTTTAAAAAACTTCCTACCGTTTTATTGAAATGCCTGCAGGGCCTCGATTTTCTTCCTAAACAATTTTGTTATAAGTATTTGTCTCCTGTTTACATTTAAGCAACATTGGCCTTTCTGGGTCAAGACACCTAGGAAAAATAATGGGAGGCATCTCAATTATTAAATGCCATAAAGAATTCAGGGTTGGGCGTTAGAAAGACAACACATGTTGTCCTGTGCCCTTTGACTCTTTGTCCAGTGGTTGTTACCTGATGGATTATGGACTGGGAGGTTTCAATGACCTCACCAGACGCATGCAACAGACTTACAGTGGACCGTTTCTGTTGTCTCCTAGCTCCTGGAAGTCCTGGGCAGAGCCCCTATGCCTTTTATCTGCCAGTGAGCCAGGCCTGGGCAGTGGGGATGCTGCTGCTGTTTCTGCCCACCACCCGTGATGTTCTGATTATAACCCCTGAGAAAAATACTGAGGATGCCTAGGGCAAGGCTGTCCCTGGCAGACTTTACATTCTAGGAGGCCCCTGTAGAAGCTTTGTAAGGAGACCAACGTAACTAGGCATGCTGAGCAATTAAGTGACCATGTCATTTAACTGAAGTAGGGGAGGCTGTTTGTAATGCTCATTTAGCAGGAATTTGCATATCATGCATGATAATGATAATAATACTTTCCAGCATATGTGCACTGCTTTAAAAACATAATAACCAGCATATACGTAGTGCTATAATAATAACCAACATATATATACACACACACACGTATATATACACACACACACACATATATATATACACACACACATATATAGATATAGATATAGATATAGATATACATAACTAAATAATAATGATAGTAACACTGGCCAGCATATATGGAGTACTTTGAAGTTTACCAAGCCCTGTACAGATATGCTCTCGTCTGACCCTCACCACAACACTGGGAGATAGACACTATTATTCTCCTCATTGGATAAGTGAGCGCCCACCCCCCTTCCCCCCTGCCCCAGCTGCCAACATCTCTCCTTCTTGGACGACCCAGAGCACTGATGCTTTGGTCTGTCTGTGTACCCTGTTTTCATGAAGCAAGTACTCTGAACTGTGATGACTGCAGAGACATGGCATGTGGTCCATACCCAAAAAGAGATGACAACCCAAATTGGGGAAAGGGGGGACGGTAACTAGCCCAAGATAGGCCATCCCTCTGTGAGCCCTGTGAGTAAGGCCAGCCCCCTTATTGAGGGTGGAGTTAGGGGCAGCCAGGGTGTGGTTGTGGTTGGAGCCTGTACTCATTGGGAGGAGATGGGGGGAGGGGAGTGGCTGCTTGGCTGGGGAGGACCTCGAACGGTGGCAGAATTTCCAGCAGGCAGCAGAAAGAGGAGGGGGCTGAAGTGGTGGGATCCTCCCAAGCTGGAAGTGCCCAAGGGTGCAGGGCAAGGGCATCATGCCCTCCTGGAGTGCGTACTCTGTTTTTCAAAGACCTCGTTGATGTTGAAAGACAGAAGGGGGTTGGGTGGAGGGAAGGATTTTGGTTCTGGGTGGGTGTTGTTCCGTGAGCCAACCCTCAGAAAGATGAGGACCGCGTGGCCAGGCCTGGACTCTTTCTCAGGGTCAGTTGTATCAGGCCCGTGGGGCTAGTGCAGCGCTCTCAAGAAGGGAGGGTCACTTTCCTAGCCTGCGAGACACTAAACTGGACTGACCACTCGGGTGTTGAATTGTGCCTGCCATGTGCTAGACCTTGTCCCGAGTGCTTTACGAGTGAGAGGGAAGTGCTGTGACTGTCCCGTTTCACAGATGAGGGATCAGACAAATAGAACTGTAGTGACTTGCCGGGGGTCACCTACCCAGGAAGTGTTGGGGGCTGCACTTGACCTGGGTGTTCCTGACGCGGGATAGCATGTTCCGTAAGTCACCCAGCTGCCCAGGGTATGGTCCATTTGCAAAGACTGTAGTCTTTGTCTTTTTCACTTAACCAGTTTTACAGTGAGTTAGTGTCACTCCTGATTCCTAATTCCCCGACAGTTACCCTAATCTTTGATCATTTTCTCTTCAATTTGTTTATTATGTTTTTGTTCAGTTCTAGGATGTTTTTCATCTATAGGTAAATCCTGATATGCAGTATTTGTTTTCTCTGAACAGGTAATTAGAACCTTGGATCCCAAATTAAATCCAGCATCAGCTGAAATAATGCTACTGAGAAAGCACCTGGCAGAGAAAGACAGAAGGATTGAGATACTGGAGGTACCTTGGCCATCTTTGCTCAGGATCTGTTTATTCTCTGCCAGCTCCCAACATAGAGTTTGGACTCTGGGAGCCGCTTTATGTGGGTATTATAGAGCAGGGGCGTTTGGCCGTCATGACCCAGTTCATAAGGGAGAGGGGTGAGGCCAGCATCTGGGCCAGGATCTGAGCCCTGGTCTCTAGGCCTCTTTCCTACCCTGACCTGCACCAGTTATCCCTGGTTGATGGTTCACGATTGAATTAGGAGGAAGCGTTTCTAAAAATGTTCTGGGTCTCTTAGCAGATTGGTGGGGAATCATCTGGGTTGACTCTGGGTTGGCATCTCTGTCACATTAACAGCCTCAGAAGTAGAATGAGCCCAGACCTGCTGGCAGACCTCCTGAGGAACAGCTTTCATCCCAAATCGTGGCTTCTCCAGCTGAGCTCTGGACAGATGGAGTCACCTTGCTGTCTCTCAGGGATGGCCAGGGAGGACAATCACAGAGCACTTTTAGACTCACAGAGCCCTTTCTCACAGCAGGAATTCTTGTCCGTCTTCTTCACATGATATGTTTGTAAGATCACTCAGCAGAATTCGATGCTCCCGTTCAGGGCTTTAGACTCGCACTCAGTGCTTTCTGCCACATCCAGCAGCACTCACCACTTTGTCTGAGGAGCCCAGGACTTCTCTGGCTCCCCTTCCTCCTAACAAGTCCAGTTTGGTGGTGATTCTCCAGGGACCCTTAGATTAGCCACTTTGAGTTTGGACTTTAAATATTGCCTTTTGCTATCAATATTTTGAGGGAAGCAATGCATTCTTAACTCACGGCTCACTTTTCTGATGAGATCACAGATCAGATTTGAACGAACAACACTACCTTTTCATTTATTTGATTCAGTGTATTAAAAAAATAAAGCACATACTATGTGCCAGGCACTATGCTAGGCTTTGGGGATGCAAAGTCAGATGAAAATGGTCCCCTCCCTCAAGCTCTTACCTTCTGTTGGCATGTACATGCACACATGTAAACACATCAAAAGAAATCAAAACCAATTATGGGAAAAAGGCATTGGCAAGAGGGGAATCAGAAGGGGCCTGAGGATCAACGTGATATTAGCTTTGCAAATTTTATAAGAATTTGGAAATGGCGTATGTGCTAGATTATTTAAAATCTTGCAAATCACTTTATTCTTAAAAACTACATACACACATACATATATTTATACGTACATATATACATACATACGTCTGTGTGTGTGTGTGTGTGTATGTATGTGTATGTATACATGACTTTACAAAACCTGTCCAGTTCTGTTTATTATATTAAGAAATACCTGAGGGGCAGGTAGGTGGCGCAGTGGATAGAGCACTGGTCCTGGAGTCAGGAGGACCTGAGTTCAAATCCGGCCTCAGACACATAATACTTCCTAGCTGTGTTACTCTGGGCAAGTCACTTAACCCCAGTTCCTTCACTAAAAAAAAAAGAAAAAGAAAAGAAATACCTGAGAACTATAAATGATTATTGGTTTCCTTTGGTCCTTGGTAGGAAGTTTTTAAAAATTGTTGTTATGTTTTGTTGTGACATCACTTATCCTTCCCAGTATGTTCCTCGCTCTACTTAAAACAAAGACGAAAAGCCCAGTTCAGCAATACTAATCGACACATCCGCTAAGCATGCCCATCACTGCCACAGAGAAGAAAGGGCCACATTCATCTGTCTTTCCTTGGTCATTGTGATTTTATAACATAGGGAAGGAAAGGGAATGAGCATTTATTTAGTACCTGTTGTGTGCCAGGCAGTGTGCTAAGCACGTTACAAAGATGATTTCATTTGACCGTCACTGCAGCCTTGGGAGAAAAGTTATTATCCTCATCTTTCAGATGAGGAAACTGGGGCAGACAGAAGTAAAGTGACTTGCCTGGACAGTGACTAACAGCCTGAGACTGGGTGGAACCAGGTCTTCCGGACCCCCAGGGTAGCGCTGTCTCCCCTCCGCCCCACCATTACCTTGTGTTCTAAGGCGGTCATGTTCGAGCTTTGCAGTTTTAGGTACAATTCCAGGCTAATCTTTCATATTATCAGGAATAAACTTTATTAAAATGTTTGGTAGAAGTAACTCATTGTGTTTATATTATATGAAACAGTGATCTTTCTAATATTTCTTGCATCTTTTTCCAGAGTGAATGTAAGGAAGCAAAATTCCGTGATTATGAAGAGAAACTCATTGTATCTGCCTGGTATAATAAGGTGGGTTGAAATCTAGCTGATTTGATTTATTAGAGAGAAACGTGTTCACCAACTTCATTTCATTAATATTTTTTAAAAACGCTTTGATGAGAAACAACTTCATTCTCCATAAGCATGTTCCTAAAAAAATCGGAATTCTTCTGTCACTAAATTCAGTTCAACCAATGTTTATTCAGTGGTTGCTTATGTTTAAAGCACTTTGTTAAGTGCTGGGGATCCAGAGGTGAAAGGCCAAATAAGCCCTGCCTTCTGTGTGCTTTAGTTTCTGGGGGTTCAGAGGTAGGGTGGGTTGGGATATACCTGGGACCTACATAGAAGTGTGATGGAATGTGGCATGAGCAAAAGCTGGAGGTAGATGGGGGTGGGGGTGAGGCCTCCTTGGAAAACTGGAAAAGAGCCCTGGGGGCCTGAGGAGAATTGGAAGATACAGTGGGGTGGCATATATCTGGGGCCCACCCCTAAGTGTAATACAAGGTGAAACATGGCAGGAGTGAGGGTTAGAAAGGTGTACTCAGAAAACCATGGGACAGAAAGAGCTCTGGGCACCTGAGGAGGGTGGGAGGGGGACATTCCCTGTGTTAACTCTTTCTTTTATGGGAGGTGTTACTTAGAGATGTAGCTAAGGAGCCATCAGCCTAGGCTATTTGAGGATGACACCGGTGATTCTGGACAGTGGACAAAAATCAGAGAGATGTGAAATGGTGCTTCTCCAAGTGGACTTTGACAACACACTTTCTTCATCATCAATGACAGTGGAGCCATAACATCTGGATTGTGATGTCACACTGCTGTATCTGCTATGTGAAGAAATGGAAAGCACAATGAAGAGTGCAGAGACAGACTGAGCCCTTGTGCTCGATCAGTGTGTTGGGATGAGATGCATGCTGGAAAGGACACCTTTGTTAGGTCACTAATTCTGCCTTTATCATCAAAGAGGAAAGAATCCTTAAAACTTGGATAAAATCTCATGACACATCAAGGTATCCTTGATGAAAGTCTGTGAAGGCAATAGGTGAGCTTTCACTACTGGTCTCCTATAGCAGTCACACCTTCAACTGAAAGGTGTCAAAAATGTGAGGGCCCACTCAGCTTATTGTTTGATTCAGGGGAGTGAGCAAACATGCATGGAGGAGGTTCATGCCGTCACATGTCAAAGTCATACAGGGTTCCCTGAGAGAGATAACGAACCCTCTGATGATTATCATCAGGCAGCACACAGAATGGCTTAACAAAGGGGTTTACCGTTGTCATGAGAGAATCCAGATAGGAGAGGGATTCTCTAGAGGGGATGTCCCCTGGATAGTCCTGTTTGAGAAGATCTTATAGCATGCAGCCCCAGAACACTTCAGAGCCCCATCTGTGAGGTCATGATCATTCAGAAGCATCGACTCTGAGCAAAGACTGCTCTGAGCAAAGACTGATGCTTCATGTTCCCATGACCATGAGTATTGGTGTGGACGGCTCCCAAAGCACCATGTGTATCACTTGATTGTACCTTGCGAAAGCCTGGATTTTATACAGGAGGAGGTTTGGTTATGGGAAGTTGTGCCACAGGATCCTAAGCTTATCCCTGCAACAAAGGCCCATCCTTTTTTACTGTTTCTTTTTTTTTAAGTAAACATTGAATTTTCTCCCTTGAAGAAATAAAAGGAAGAAAACCATTGTAAGATCATTCCACAGGCCACTGAGGAAGCGCACTCCCCACGTTTGGTCAGAGAGACAGTAGAGACTCAGTAAACAGAATGAGATGCACATTTTTGGACATAATATGGGAGTTTGTGCTGGAAAGGCCTATGTTCTCCTGGTGATGCTATATGATTCGGAGTCCTGAAATGCCATATTCTTCAAAGAATTAAAGTTGAGGGTCTTCTAAAAGAAAATGGATATGTGTGTGGCAGATAAGAGGAGAAATCGAGGAAAGAGGAAAAATGAGACATTGTACAAGAGGACATAAAAAATGACGGTGCCAGGATTTGTGAGTAGAAAAAAGATGAGTGAGTTAGGTAGTGAGGAGGGAGGATGCTCAGTGGGTGACCTACTGGCCTCTTTGGTATACGCACCACATCAGGAGAGCCGCCTCCTGTCACTTCAGGTCGACGGTATAATTTAAGGAGTCCTCATACTAAGGACATTATAGATCCATGGATGTACGAACAGGGTAGCTTTCAAAAAATCTTTGGGATAAAAATCCTTAATTGTCTTTCTAATTTAGATAATTAAATTTGAAACTAAAAATGTTTTTTCTCTATTGAATTATAGTTGTGCAATTTAGATTAAGAAGGAGAATAGTAAATAGAAATAAAAGAACCTCTCCAATCTTTTAATACTTTCTTCCTAATATCATTAGTACAATAATACTGGCATGAAGACAGTCAGGTGTTATTCATATAATCCAAATGTTAGGCATTATACCTATTGGAACCAGAAATGGAAGTGTGGGCTTCAGCCTGTCTTAAGATTGGAATGATTAGACAGTGTGAAAGATCCCTTTAAGCAGTAGAAAATGGTGTTGAACCAATAATCTCCTCCTCTCTCCACCATCTTGGCATATTCATTCACTGTCCTGGTATCTTTTGTATGCAAGACCCTAAGCTAACTGCTGGAGCAAAGGACAGATTAAATTTGACATGAGAAGCTAATATTCTTTTGGCTTGCCTTAGTGAGAATTTCTTTAAAAATAATACATTTTTATTGAATTTTTTTTATTTTTTACATCATCAGAATTTCCTCCTGGTATCTCCTTCCTAGAGAGGTATCCCATATAAAAATAGTATATTTTTAAAGACCCCCCCCCCAAAAAAAGGAAAAAATCAGCATAAATATTTGATACTTTGAAAAAGTGTGAAAAATTCTGCAGCGCTTATGGACCTCTCATCTCTTCAAAGGAGTGGGATAGGGCTCTTCTCAAGCCAGTCTCAATCTTGATAAGTTTTCAGCATCCAGTTTGTTTTGAGGTGTGTGTGGTGGTAGTGTTCTTTCCATTTATGTTGTTGTAATCATTGTGTGTATTGTTTTCTTGGTTCTGCTGACTTTGCTTTCTGTCAGTCCACATAGCTCTTTCCATGCTTTTCTGTATTTGTTACATTCATCGTTGTAGTCACGGACCACATTTTGTTTAGACATTCCATATTGGGTGGACATCTACTGTGTTTCCAATTTCTAGCTGTAACAAAGTATTTTGGTGTAGAGGGGGACTTGCTCCTTTTCAGTGGCTTCCTTGCAGCACGAGGCCAGTAATGAAAGCTTTAGTTCAAAGGGTGTGGCCATTTTAGTCACATTATTTGTGTAATGCCAAATTGCTTTCCAAAGCAGGTTGTATTAATTTCCCGGCTCCACCAGCACTGCACCAGTGTGCCCCTCTTCCCACAATCCCCCCACATGGCCTGTTGCCATGTTTTGTCATCTTTGCCAGTTTGCAGGGTGTGAGGGGAAACCTCAGACTTGTGATTCACATTTCTCTTCTTAGTAGTGATCTGAAGCGTTTTTTTTTTATGTGGATATTAATAGTTTTTAGTTCTTTTGAGAATTATTTGTTCACATCCTTTGCCCATTTGTCTTAATGATATTTGCATACTTCAAAGGAAGCACCAATTAGGAAAACATCTGTTCTGGATCTGATTCTCACCAACAAGGAGAAGTGTTAGGATGCTTGTGGGAAAACATCTGCTGTTTTCTAGACTTTGTGATAGTGAAGACGCTAGTCGCTGTTGACATGCTCCTTTGATTTTGGGAGAGCATGTTTCATTGCAGTCAGAGAACTCACTGGAGGAGAGCCTAAAGTATTCTGGGCGGGGGTTAACCCAGGAGGGGCATGAAGTTTTAGGGATCACTATGTAAGAAAAAATGTTTCTGATGAGGTAGAGGGGGAGGCCTGTGCAAAGACTAATGTTGACTGACAGGGCATCACTGACTGCCCCAGATTGATGAAGGGCGTGTGGAGAAGGTGGAAGGAAGGGTGGGGGAGACAATGAGCGGTGTTTACTGTGCGAAGAGTATAAAGAGGCCTGGAGATCGAGGGACCTGCAGCTTTCCAGTGGTGCAAGAATGTCCATCTCTCTCTGCTCATTACAGATGTTGAAGAAAAGAGGGTCATCAGGAAAGAAGGCTGGCAGGGGTGAGCATGGCAACTGGTGGAAAAAAGGCTGAATGACTTCATTCTTCTCTTGCCTGAGAATGACTTTTTGGACAGGGATGTTTAATAGATAATATTTAATAATAAGAACCAACATAAATAGGGACAGAGCAAGAGAGAACTTGGTTATCCTTGATGATTTGCTAGGCTCAGACATACTTCAACCCAAGATGGATATGATTTCTGAACCATCACCATTGGTCCCCAGGAGAGATCTTGCAGGACTAGAGAAGGAAGGAGAATGTTTGGCTTTCCAAGGAATGGAAGAACAGGGGTTTGATTTCTGGCAGAATTGTAGAGTCTGTTGTTAGAAGGATCCAAGTGCCAGCCTGGCCTCGTCGAGAACAGGTTGTCCTGTCCTCGCCTCGGTTGCTTTTGGAAGAGGTTCCCAGACTGGTACATCAGAGGAATGCTGGGGATGTTGTGTACTTGATTTAAGAAACAGAAGCCTTTGATGGAATCCCTCACACTGCATGTGAGCTGCGTGAGAGTGCTGACTCTTATGTCTAGTTGGCCAGACTTTGTGTAGGCGTGAATGGTTCCCTTCCCCTTGAGGGGTCCTGAGTGTGGTGCCTCGGTGCTCTGTTTAGCCTGGAAGACAGAAGATCCTGGCAGCTGCCTTTAGACAGTAGCAGAGCATCAGTAGGGTCCTGGCCTTGGCCTCAGGAACATGACCTGAGCTAGAATCCTGCTGTAGGTAGGGAGTGGTCTGGGACCCTGCCGTTGTCATGAATACCCAACGGACAATGCACGTAAAATGCCTGGCAATCCGGGCAGCCACTACTGTGAGTCTTCCACGGTAACAGTGACAGCTGGTGGAAGGGCTTTCTCGCAGAGAGGGAGTTTGGTTTTCTTTGAACTCCAGAAGCGACAGGAGGATTAATGTGTGGATGCTGTAGAGAGGTATCTTTGGGCGTTTATAAAGTGCCTCCTCTGTGTTGGGCACTATGCCAAGCACTGAGGATACAAACTAAGGCAAATATGTAAAAGACGTGCCCTGCTCTTTAGACAGAGTGCATTAAAGTCTAGAGTGTTTTGAGATTGCGTGAAGGAGAATTCACTTTGAGAGTGCTCAGAAAACATGAAAATGTAGCATCTGAGCCTTGACAGAGAGGCAGGGGTGGGGAGAGGAGTCATCTCTGGCCTAGGGAACGAGAACACCTATGGCAAGCAGTGGGGCAATGGCGTATGCCTCTACATGACTAGTCAGTGTTGGAATGAATGCCCAATGGACTGTATCTTCTGGCAAGCCCCAGAGAGCCCAAAGCCTGTCTGCTGGAAGGGTTTAGAAATCACTCCATCACCCGGCAGGCAGGGAGGCTCCTTCCGGGGTGGTTCTTATGGCTTCTCCTGGCCATCCTCGCCTTGCCAGCTGCCATCTTCAGTGTTTTTTTCTCTCCTGTAGAGTCTCGCTTTCCAGAAGCTGGGGATGGAATCCAGACTGACCGGAGGGAACAGTGCCTGCAAGGATGCTGGTGCATGCCCTCCTGTGCGCTCCTTCCTTGCACAGCAACGGCACATCACCAATGCCAGAAGAAATCTCTCTGTGAAAGTACCTGCTGCAACATCTGATTAAACTCCAAAAGAAACACAGACCCTTAAGTGCCCTTAACTTGTTTGTAGCTTCCACAGTCCTTGTGGATTATAAAGAGCCAGTCATGGTGCTGGACAGATGCAGATTTGCTCATCAAAAAGAAAATCAATGAAATTGATTTCTATAAGGCAGTTGTAATAGCTACATCCATCTTTTCAGATGGTCAGAAATGAGGAATTGAAATAATAGAAATTAGAAAGCATGTATCTCAAAGAATTATATTTGTCTTCAGAGCATAGTGTTTAGAATTACAAATTGGCAATGCATATTTAAATTTAAGATGTCCAGTTAGCCTGGTACCTTGATTAACCAAGGCATCATTGAAAATTTGTAATTTGAAAAAACGCCAGCTATTTTTTATCCTACAAGATGAAAATCACTGATGTGAGCACACCAAACGGAAGAAATCTTGGCTGGGTTGGGGTGGGGTGCTGCTTTTAGCTGTACCAATACTTGTTCAAGTTAATCTTTCTATTCTTGCTGTCAGATGATATGATTTTAGTTTTTACTGGAAGATGATTCCATTGTTGGGAAAAAAAGTTAAAAGTTGCAATAGCTTTTTCTATAAATGCAAATGATTAAATAGAAACATTTTCAGATATTTGAGAGGTCAGAACCTCTCTGTGGGCAGCTATTAATCATAAATGGGACCATTCCTGGGATTAGGCCGTGACCAATTTTGTTGAAAATCTTAGACAGGAATTTAACTAACTTTTAAAAAGTTATTTTATCCTTGGAAAATAAGCTAAAAACTAAGATTTAGTATGTCGTATTCATAGACATTTTTAAAAAGTCAGTTGGCAGGGCAAAATAATTTATTGCTTCTAAACATTCCGGAGTTTTCAGAGCTGACTTGAAACATTCATTTTGCCTCTGTGTTTAAAAAGGAGGCATTATTTTAGGAAGCTACATGAAATGAATTTAATTTGACTTATTCCCTAGGGAGCCACTCTGTGCTATTTGATTCACCAATACCAAAAGTTGTCAGTGTATTATTAGCCTCAAGTTTTGGATAATCCCTAAAAGATGTAATTTTTTATCTGCTGTGGAGATATGTCCTTGTCTGGGCACTTAGATGACAGCTTCATCCCATCTCAGGCAGAAAATTGTGGAATGATGATGTGGGCAGATGAAGACGAGTAATCCCTAGCATTAAGACCCGACCCCCTGAATTTCTATCTCCTGAAGGCTTTTCCAAGAACTCTCTTCTTGGTGTCCGTCCCGTGGACATGCTGTCTGTCCCAGGCTTAGCTTTTTATTGCTAGTGTTTCTTTACAAAATGTCAAGTGTTGTTGTGTCTACAGTATTGTGTGTTTAGACCTCTGGTTTAGGGACTGTCTCAGTAAGCTTCTCCAGTTTATTGAAAGGGCAGAATAGTATGCCGTTTAATGTAGTGTGAGCTGGGATCCTCGTAAGCAAGCGTCAGTGTGTTTTGTACGACTAGATTTCCTCCTGCGCTACCCATTTCTGTTGACTACCTCTGGGGTTCTGATGATTTTAACTGGTGCAATGATGTGGTTGGCTTGTGTTTTGTATCTTTGTAAGCTCTGCTTGTCTTTGATTTTGTTGAAATGGAGAAAAAGCCTTTATAAGTATTTGAGCATGCTGTGCAAAGTTTTCTAACTGTGACATTTCAGTCCACCCTAGTGAGTAGAAAGGATTGTCGCCTCAGTGTTGAAGAATATTTATAAATGAGACTTAAGAAAAGCATAACTTCACTTTTCTAATGGGATTCACTTTAAAGCAGCAGTTGCCCATCCAGTGAGCCCTGCTTTTTTCATAGAATCTCCCTCGGGTGCTAAATAGAATTCGGGTGCCCTTGTTCCATTGCTAGTGAAATGGAACACCAGCAGTTGTGGCCCCGCTATGTCTGCACAGGGGGCATGGTCAGGTTGCATTTGATTGTATTAACATATGGGAAAAACAGCAACAACTATAACCAGGGGGTGTGAAAGCTGGAGGATAAATATCTTTGCATAGGAAGGGTAGAAGCCGGGTTTCTCCATGATGATGGCTTGTGATAATAATGGGGAAGTCCAAGGACTGTCTGGACTTGAGTCCCTGGCCTGATTGGTTGAAAGAGAAGATTGACACCCTGTGGGTGATAAAGCATTAGAAATAATTGATCATGAGCCAGGACTGGTGTATTTCTTCTTTAAAGAGTGTATATTCTCTGGAGGCCAGGGTGGGTTTACCTTGGAGTAGAAATGCACCACATTTATCCGTGTGAAAAGAAAGGGACTGTTCTAGTGGTGATTATAAAACCAATTCAAGATCAGTCCTTAATTTGGAGTCTCTATTGTGAGATTTTTATTTGTTTTTCTTTTTTCAAAGTGTGGTGGTATACATACATACATATGTATGCATATGTGTACATATATGTATGTGTATATATACTGTGACAATGATGGTTAGTTTATCTGAGATTTATTGAGAATATTGAAAAATATTTGAATTTTACTCTATTTTTCCAGTGAATAATTAAGGTTATTGAATATATGATTTAGTACAGATTTAAATTATTCATATATCTCTTAAACTTTTGTCTGGAAACCTAAATGGTGTCTCTAATTTTTTTGTCATTTCATGTTTAATGTAAAGTGATAAGTTGAATGCTAACAGTTAAAGTTCTTCTTAATCCTAAGGCTACTTGTGTCTACTTACAAACACATCTGAACCAGTGAAAAATCATTCCAGCAAATGAATATTGTGCGTTTCATCTGTCCCTTAGTTTATCCTACTACGTTTAGTCAGAAGCTTCTCAATTTATGGAAATGGGTATGCATGTAACTATGTCTGCCTACATTTTTGTGAATTTTCTTTTTAACCTTCAGTGAAATAATTTATGGAATCACTAAGGCATCAGTTTCATTTTTTAAAAAGGAAACCAACAATTTCCTGAATTCGATGTAGTTTTGTGTAATGTTTTACCTGTCAGAGGTACGTGAAGGCCCTTCCTCTTTTTTGTGGGAAAGTTTTACTTGGACACGGTTTGCCACACGACAGAAGCAATACCTGATTTATTTTCCTAAGTAGCCAGGACGTCCTTTTGCATTGTGGTTGACAGCTAGCAGACGGCCCAGCAATGAAGAATGTGGTCAGCTTCCCTGATGCCTTTCTCGCTTTTGTGTCCAGTGGGCCTGCCAGCTTCCAGTGGACATACGGGACATGTGGCCTGCTTTAATTTTCCAATGTACGTTCACCTCAATCGGTTTAGAAACAATGTTGCACTACTTTTTATTCTTCCCTTCTTTGAAAATATTCTTTTTATATTTACATAAAGGCCAATGAAAGTGACTTTGAATGTGTCTGTTTTCGTTGATAGCCGTTCTCGGTGCAGGAACTCCACTGAGAAGCTGTGTGTTGTTCGCACCGTCTTTGCAAATGCCTTTGGCCTTTTTATACCTTAAATCTATCGAATCTGTTTATAACATGGTGGGAGTGGGGGTCAGGCAGGGAGAGACACAAAAAAAGAGTAAAATTTTAATGAAAACTAAAACATTAAAATGTGAGAACTTTCACCTTAGCTTGTCATATAGTCTTGGGTAATAATACACAGCCCAATAATACATGGTCCAGTTCTTTTAAATGGTGAAGGATTTTTCTCAAATGGAAGGTTCTTTCGGAATTCTGCATCCCTAGAGAAGGACTATTCATTGGTCAGAGGGGCTTGGAGATCGTAAGGTATCCATAGCCTTTGTTGTAGACTTTTACTTAGAAGTTATAATATAGGACTCCCAAAATCTTAGGTAATATCACACGTTGTGAAGTTTATGTTGATTTGTAAAAAGCAAACAAATAAACAAACAAACAAAAAAACAGCTAATAAAGTGACTGGTGGAGAGGGCCAGGCTCTAGTCCTAGCTGTGCCACCGCGTGGCTGTTGAACCCTAGACAGATCACCACCTCTCTGGGCTGTTTTAGCTCGAAAATTCTGTCAGTCAAAGACAACATGAGGATCATAAATGGAGAAATAACCCCACATGCGTTCACAGATTTTGAGGTATAAGAGGTAAGCATTAAGGGCCCAACGTTGCCAGATGTTTTGACCAAAGGCAGATGACCATTAAGGGGAGTTGGGATTGAGCAGGTACTTTTATAAGTGCTGAATGACTAAGGCTGATAAAGTGAAGAGAAAACTATTTTGGGACTTCATAGTGGATGAGTGAGGGAGAGCTGGCCACCCTTGTGAGGCACTGGGATCAGATGGAAGTGGTGGGTGCCAGTTAGTGGTGAATCAGCTTAGCGATCCACGTGGCCTTGCCCCATGGGAGGGACAGACCCAGGAAAGTAGAGCAGGTGCCCTGGCATGAGGGCAGGGTCTTCACTTGACCTGGAAGGGACATTAGAGGTCATCTAGTCCAGTTGTTTCATTTTACAGATGACTTAACTGAGGGTGAAGTGAGTTGCTCAAGGGTCACACAGGTTGCAAGTTCCTTACTGTGAGGCTGCTGCCCATGGACCTGTTCAGGGTCACCTCTCTTAGCTGAGTTATTCCCCTGAGCAAGGAAAACTCATGGATGTAATGACTGAGCAGCTAGTTTTGGTGACCTTTAAGGAGTTACCAGTAATGGTGGAGAGTTGAGACAGCAAAGGTTGCAGAATGACCCCTGCCTCCAATCTCTCCTCTGTTTGATCCATTCCCTACATAGTTGGAAAAGTGATAGTTCTGAAGCATAGGGCTGATTGTCACTGCCCTGTTCAGGAAACTGCAGTGACTCCCTATTGCCTCTAGGATCAAGCACAAATTCCCAGCTACCTTTCCTGACTTTGGTAGAAATCACTGCTCTTCACACAGTCTGCATCCCACCATACTGGTCTCCTTGCTCCAACTTGTGCATGTCAGCCCATTACCCACCACTGTGTCTGGAATGCCCTCGCTCCTCCCCTCTACCTCCGGGAATTCCTGGCTTCCTTCATAGCTTGTCTTAGGGCCCCCTCTGACCCTATTAGCTCCATCCTTCCCCTTCCAAATGACCCCATCTTTCAGTATGTTTTATATCCACTTATATGTGTACTTAGAGGTTATGGAACACAATCTAGAAAGGGCCCCAGACGCCATTTTGTCCTAACTCCTCATTTTCCAGATGAGGAAACCAAGTCTCTTAGAAGTTAAGTGACTTGCCCACAGTCACACAGGTTATAAGTATCAGAAGTTGAATTTGAACCCAGGTCCTAAGACTCCAGCATCAGTGCTCTTTTCTCTGAACCACATAAATGGCAACCCTTTGAGAGCAGGGACTCTCTCATGCATTTCTATCCCTATGCCCTAGTGCAATGTTGGGTACATAGTAGGTGTTTAATAAATGCATTGCATTGTACTGAATGGTAATAGGGAGAATTGTACCAAAACTCAGGGTTTTTTTTTTTCTTTTTATAGCTGATGTTGAAATCTCCCTCTCCTCTCACTGTCTCCTCCCTCTTTCTGTTTTTATGTCTTCTCTGTTTCTGTGTCCCCTTCTCTCTGTGTGTATATGTACATATATACTGCATATTATGTAATGATATGGGTGGACACACATGTGACTATACATATATAACATTACATAATTATGTATGTATGGTACATAGCCTGTATGTACACAGATATTTCCTTGTTGTCTCCTTCATTAGGACAGGAGCTCCTTGGGAGCAGGGACTGGCTTTTGCTTTTCTTTGTCTCCTCAGCACCTAGCATAGTGCTGGCACATAGGAGGTATTCAATAAATGTTGATTGATATATAATATGGTATATGAATGTGTATATACACATATATGTATCTGTATACATTTATACAGATTATATACATATTATATACTGTCATGAGTGAAATTCAACACAAGTAAATGTTTTCTCTGAGCAAGATAATAGTTTATTAACATGGGAGCTGCCTGTTAAAAATCAGGTCAATGGCTCTGCTTCAGTTAGCCAAACACCCTGAGATGGGTACTGAGTTCCTTTTTATGAGATTAGAACAAAGAATGGAACAGGGTAGGTAGGGAAATAATGCAACTGGTTATGGGTTTGAAGACAACATGATTGGTCACATAGCTGAGGTGTAGGGAGCAACATGAAGTTGGGAATGAGGAGCTAGAAACAACCCCCTTCTTTCCCATGACTAAGAAATGTTCATTGTTTGAGTCCACATGGTTAGAAATAGTTCCCAGATAGACTAAATGGCCCCTCGACTTATGCATTTCTATAACTCCTGCCTCTCGTTGCTAGTCTTAACAGCTGGGTGTGCACAGAAAACATCCAGTTCTTTGCTTTGTGATAGCAAATTGGAATAGCAAACCAGAGGTCCTTGAAGGATCTCTTGGTGGTATAAAGATACTAGACCAGACTCCCTGGGGTCCACCCACATCCCCCAAGGATAACATTTCCTTGAGGCAAGAATAGAGCCGTGATTGGCAGGAGAGCTTAACTCATAAGCCAGTTGAATTTCTGCACTAAGTTCAGATGAACGACTGTGACTTAGGCAGTTACAGGGCAAAACCAATTAATTATAAATAGGACCAATACAAAATGGTACAGAAGCAATTTTAATCTCAATACACAATCATACATGGATATATCTGTGTACATATATCTGTCTGTATCTATATGCATGTATATATATGCACATATTCATATGAAAGGGGGCAAGTTCCATGCATATAGATATAGATATGAGTATATGCAGTTCACACAGAAGCCGCTGGATAGATTGTAAAGGGGATTCTTATTTCATTCTGGGTGAAGATTCCTTCCAGCTCTGAGATCTCCCGTCTTTAAGCCTTTGTGCTGGCTGTCTCTCGTGCCTGGTATGCTCTCCCTCTTTCCTTCTAACTTTTTGATTCCCTGGCTTTTTCAGTTGGTCAATAAGCACTTAAGCATAAAGCTCTCACTGTGTGCCAAGCACTGTGCTAAATGCCGGAGCTGTAAAAAGCAAAAAGTAGTCTCTGCCTTCAAGGATGGTACATTCTAATGGGGGAGACAGTGTGTTTATACATGAGTCCATTCAAGAAATATGCAGAGAATGTGAAGTTGATCTGAAAGGAGGAAGCAGTAGTGACTGGAGGGATCAGGAAGAGCCTCTTGAAGAAGATAGAGTTAAGCTGAATCCTGAATGGGAGATGGAGTTGGGAGACCAGAGCAAAAGTCAGGAAATGGCCCAAGTCCTACCTTCTAGAGCAGGTGTTTCCTAGCCATCCTGGGGCCTTCTGTCTGGGATTACCACCAATTCACCCTGTCTATACCTTGCACGTCCATTAGATTGTGAGCTCCTCGAATGTGGGGACTGCCTTTGTCTTTCTTTGTATGCTCACCTCTTAGTACAGTGCCTGGCATATAGGGGATACACAGTAAACACTTGTTGACTTTCTGACATAGGCAGTTCAGAGCCTTATCATCCCCTGTCCAGGGGCTCACCTTATCTGAGGCCCATCAGTCAACCCATTTCAACTGCTTTGGAAATCTGATGAAGGCAATGGATCCCTTCTCAGAATTATTATTATTTTTTTTATTAATGCAAAAGAAGCCAATTTTACTGAAATTCAGCTGTCAAAGTAAAAAAAAATAAAATTCACAGATGTTAGGTCTTTAAGAACTCCTACACAGGGATAGTGGCAACATCAACAAGAATTTGTGTCCAGAACAATGGACGTGGCCTGTCCTGCTTTCCTTTGCCCAGGTAGACCCTGTCTGGAGTATTGGGTTCAGTTCTGGACGCCACATTTTAGGAAGGATGTTGATAAAGGTGTCCGTGAGGACGAGGTGACTCGATGCTTTGCCATATAAGGATCCATTGATGGAGCTGAAGCTTATCAGGGTCCTTGATAACCAGATGAATAGTTTAAGGGCTGTCACAAAGCAAAGAATTAGATGTTTTCTGTGCAGTCCCGGCTGTTAAGACTAGGAACAACAGGCAGGAGTTACAGAAATGCATAAGCTGAGTGGCCATTTAGTCCAGCCTATTTAGAGAAGAGATTCCTGGCTATAAGATATTTGACAAAAGGGATCACCAGCCTATGATTGAAGGTCTCCAAGAAGGGGGAGCCCATTGCATGTGAGGAAAGCCCTCATGGCTAGGATCTTTTTTCCAGACATTCAGCCTTAATTGCCTTCCTTGCTTTGTTTCCATTCTCTGCTCCTGGTTCTGGCTTCTGGGGTCAAAGAGAATATGTCTGACCCCTTCTTTGTATGGCAATCCTATCATATGCCCATCAGGTCTTCTCTTCTCCATCCTAAACATCTCTAGTTCCTTCATCCAGTCCTCATACGATGTGGCCTCAAGGCCCTTCATCATCCTTGTTGCTCTCTAAATTGTAGAGTTAGAG